CATAGTCTGTCTTCACCTCTTTGAAATTTACATCTTAGATAAAAATCACTATTAAATTTTAAATTTGCTTGTTTTCACAGAAATTAAAGAAAGGAATTCTGCAGCCAGCCACAGACCGCGGACCCTGAGGCTCCCCTGACCCAAAACCCGCCAGCCACGGCCCCCGGACAATCAGACGCTGCTGTAACCATCTTGCACCGTGCTGCTGCGGTATGTGTCTTACATTACTCCTGTATAGTCTAACACACATTTAAGTCATCCTAATGTGCTTTTTGTAGACACTGTAGGCCTTTTGACGGGAGCGGGAATTTTTAAAACGGCTACCGCGGCACGTCGTCTTCTCGGCCGAGGGATCGCGAAGGCCACGATTATGAATATAAACGGAGCTCAACTTCTTTCATCTCACTCTTTACTGTATTCTTCGCTACAGCGGTTCCCAACCTGGAGCCCGGGACCCCCACTAGGGGTCGCCAAAGCTTCACAGGGTGTCGCAACTTAAACAGGTGCTAGAAAAGTATACACTTTTATTGTGGGTTTATTGTAGTTTTAATTCTAATATGAAATACCCATCAAATATGTCCCCAAGCAGGGGTCGTCACTTTACTAAATTATATATATCATAATGTGTCTATATTGCCGTATATGAGTAGCATGTCCTATCTGGCTCCATGTCTGTACTAATCACCTGCTCTCTCTCTCTCTCTCTCTCTCTCTCTCTCTCTCCTGCCTCCAGGGTGTGTAGAAGACTTCATTTTGGAGGGGAGGGGCCACCCGATTGTTCTGATGTGTGTTGCCAGTGTAAATGCTCAATAAAATTATTTTAAAATCCATAACCCCCTGCTTCCATCTCTCCGGGAGGAGACACGGCCCCCTCCATTCCCTCTGCAGCAGGATGAGACTCCAGGAACCCAGCACCCAAAGTGCTGCCAGTAGTTTTTAATTCAGATTCAGATTATCTGATTAGTTGTTTTTTTTTTTTTTTTTTGGTTCTGCATCCCAATGACAGGAAACATTTTTTTTTAATTTTTTGTTTTAACAACATCCATCACCTTAGAGTTTTCAAATTCCCCATATATCTTAATCTCCTGTTTTCGAATACACAATTTCTAAGATCTAGATTGGACCCCAGTATTGGGATAATCCAAATGGCTGCTGTGTGTGGGCAAGGATTCAGTGACAAATGGTCGATTCTGACCACTGCAGTAGCTGCGTATGCCACTAGGGGAGCTCTGACGTCATCAATTTCTTGCCGAAAATGCACTTGTGGCGGCGTCCGCCAACCTCCCCCTCCCACAATTACATAAAAAGCTTCAAACATTTGAGCAAAATTTCAGCCGCTCGTGGCTCTGTGTCTGATAACCCCCTTCTTTGATCTCTCCGGAGCATCGGGAGGGGACAAGGCCCCCTCCCTCACCCACCGCCGTGGGATCGATAGTCCAGGAACCGGCCGGGTGGTATTCGAACCAGCGGTTCCTCCACTGGCCGACCCTACGGTCACGAGACGAAGCCACCACGCCACCGAGCCCCCTTCGCACTAGAGCCTGCTCTCTGGGCGCTTTTATTTCTTCACTTTGGGGCGCTGGACTTTAAAATTCACTGAGCCTCATAAGGGAATCGACCCCATGTCCTCAGAAGTGTCCATTGACCTACTAACACACTGAGCTATGTGTACGCAGACGCTTCTTCCTTGTTTCTTAGGGGCCTTCAGTCTTCTTCTTGGTGTTGAATTTCAAAATTCACGACGTCAAAGGTTTGAACCCGCAACCTCCGAACTTCCACAAAGCCGTCTAACACCTTGAGCTGTTTGATCTGAGACGCCGGAGAGTTTTTTTTACTGTTTCCTTCGGACAACCGACTTCAAAATTCACATATTCTGGTAAACATGCAAAACACAACCTCGCAACTTCCTGACAGTCCATCAGCACCGCGAGGTATCTGACCCGAGACAGTTTCTTCTTGGTGTTTGATTTCAAAACTCTCAAATTCAACCGGGCATTGAACCCACAACCTCAGAGCTTCTAATCACTTACTTAACACCTTGAGCTATTGGATTGGACACTGGAACCTTTTTTTTTTATATTTGACCTTTTCTTCTAGATTGTTCAACTTCAAACTTCAGTTCATTCAAAAATGAATGAGGCTTGAACCCTCGACCTCTTTCCGGAGGCCTGGGGGGGGACACGGCCCCCTCCTCTCCCTCTGCAGCGGGGTGTGACTCCAGGAACCCAGCACCGAGCGAGACTCGAACCAGACGCTTCTGCCTTCTGGCCGTGACCGTCCACACCGCCAAATATAAAAAAAAAAAAAAAGGTTCCAGTGTCCAATCCAATAGCTCAAGGTGTTAAGTAAGTGATTAGAAGCTCTGAGGTTGTGGGTTCAATGCCCGGTTGAATTTGAGAGTTTTGAAATCAAACCCCAAGAAGAAACTGTCTCGGGTCAGATACCTCGCGGTGCTGATGGACTGTCAGGAAGTTGCGAGGTTGTGGTTTGCATGTTTACCAGAATATGTGAATTTTGAAGTCGGTTGTCCGAAGGAAACAGTAAAAAAAAACTCTCCGGCGTCTCAGATCAAACAGCTCAAGGTGTTAGACGGCTTTGTGGAAGTTCGGAGGTTGCGGGTTCAAACCTTTGACGTCGTGAATTTTGAAATTCAACACCAAGAAGAAGACTGAAGGCCCCTAAGAAACAAGGAAGAAGCGTCTGCGTACACATAGCGCAGTGTGTTAGTAGGTCAATGGACACTTCTGAGGACATGGGGTCGATTCCCTTATGAGGCTCAGTGAATTTTAAAGTCCAGCGCCCCAAAGTGAAGAAATAAAAGCGCCCAGAGAGCAGGTTCTAGTGCGAAGGGGGCTCGGTGGCGTGGTGGCTTCGTCTCGTGACCGTAGGGTCGGCCAGTGGAGGAACCGCTGGTTCGAATACCACCCGGCCGGTTCCTGGACTATCGATCCCACGGCGGTGGGTGAGGGAGGGGGCCTTGTCCCCTCCCGATGCTCCGGAGAGATCAAAGAAGGGGGTTATCGGACACAGAGCCACGAGCGGCTGAAATTTTGCTCAAATGTTTGAAGCTTTTTATGTGATCATGGTAGGGGGAGGTTGGCGGACGCCGCCACAAGTGCATTTTCGGCAAGAAATTGATGACGTCAGAGCTCCCCTAGTGGCATACGCAGCTACTGCAGTGGTCAGAATCGACCATTTGTCACTGAATCCTTGCCCACACACAGCAGCCATTTGGATTATCCCAATACTGGGGTCCAATCTAGATCTTAGAAATTGTGTATTCGAAAACAGGAGATTAAGATATATGGGGAATTTGAAAACTCTAAGGTGATGGATGTTGTTAAAACAAAAAATAAAAAAATGTTTCCTGTCATTGGGATGCAGAACCAAAAAAAAAAAAAAAAACAACTAATCAGATAATCTGAATCTGAATTAAAAACTACTGGCAGCACTTTGGGTGCTGGGTTCCTGGAGTCTCATCCTGCTGCAGAAGGAATGGAGGGGGCCGTGTCTCCTCCCGGAGAGATGGAAGCAGGGGGTTATGGATTTTAAAATAATTTTATTGAGCATTTACACTGGCAACACACATCAGAACAATCGGGTGGCCCCTCCCCTCCAAAATGAAGTCTTCTACACACCCTGGAGGCAGGAGAGAGAGAGAGAGAGAGAGAGAGAGAGAGAGAGCAGGTGATTAGTACAGACATGGAGCCAGATAGGACATGCTACTCATATATGGCAATATAGACACATTATGATATATATAATTTAGTAAAGTGACGACCCCTGCTTGGGGACATATTTGATGGGTATTTCATATTAGAATTAAAACTACAATAAACCCACAATAAAAGTGTATACTTTTCTAGCACCTGTTTAAGTTGCGACACCCTGTGAAGCTTTGGCGACCCCTAGTGGGGGTCCCGGGCTCCAGGTTGGGAACCGCTGTAGCGAAGAATACAGTAAAGAGTGAGATGAAAGAAGTTGAGCTCCATTTATATTCATAATCGTGGCCTTCGCGATCCCTCGGCCGAGAAGACGACGTGCTGCGGTAGCCGTTTTAAAAATTCCCGCTCCCGTCAAAAAGGCCTACAGTGTCTACAAAAAGCACATTAGGATGACTTAAATGTGTGTTAGACTATACAGGAGTAATGTAAGACACATACCGCAGCAGCACGGTGCAAGATGGTTACAGCAGCGTCTGATTGTCCGGGGGCCGTGGCTGGCGGGTTTTGGGTCAGGGGAGCCTCAGGGTCCGCGGTCTGTGGCTGGCTGCAGAATTCCTTTCTTTAATTTCTGTGAAAACAAGCAAATTTAAAATTTAATAGTGATTTTTATCTAAGATGTAAATTTCAAAGAGGTGAAGACAGACTATGTTCTCTGCCAAATAGCCTGGTCCTGCGTCAGAGGAGTTTGTTAAAACAAGTTGAGACTGTCACAAACCGCAGCCGGAGCTCCGAGGAACCAAAGCAGAGCACGTTAAGTGTACGGTACATGCGCTGTTATTCTTTATGATGCAGACAATGTATGTTTGCTGCTCACTTGGAGTTCAATCAGACCGTAATTAGGAGGCAGTGCTAAATGCTATTGTTTGTTTGTTTGTTTTATTCAATGTAAATGAGTTGTGTGGTCAATATTACAAAGACAATCTATCAATCAATCTCTGGGTCCTTTAACCCACCAGCCAAACAAAGGCCTCCAACCCTGTGGAGATGCTGCATGGCTCAGCTGAACATGTGGTCCAGCTAGTTTAGTTAGTGCAGTCAGAATGAACACTGCCTACAACCTGATGCACACATTATCTGCACTAATAGGACACAATCTGAGCTTCAAGGGCAACATACATGAGCTCCAAACCATTAACTGTGCAAGAAATGAACAAGTAAAAACACTTCACACATGATGCTATAATACAGCCATAAACTAACTAGGGCATTCTGAAGCAAAGAGCTTCATTTCTAATCCATCATTCTGCAGTCACACAGAAATAACACAATATTCACTCACTCTCTCTGGAAGTGGCGACTGGAAAGACTGAAGTGTTTCTGTGGTGGTGTCCGTGTCCCGCGACTCGCCGGCACACCCTGGAGGCAGGAGAGAGAGTGCAGGTGATCAGTACAGACGGGGAGCCACGTCGGACATTATCCAGCTGTACTCTTTATAATTCAACAAAAGGTTTTAAAAATGTAGAAAGAATCTCAAGATGCTAATACTAATATATAGCAATATAGCCATATTTAGCTAATGTAACTATTCTCCTGATGCCAATACACAGCTGTTACTGTAGTAAAGCTGTGGTTCCCCCATCAGGGACCCCTTTTCTATCATTTAATAAACTGACGACCCTGCTTAGTTGACATATTTGATGGATTTTTCATATTATGTTCCAAACTGTACAATGAACCCACATAGTGAACTCAGTAACTCCCTACTGTGTATATTCTTTACGTTTTCTAGCACCTGTTAAAGTCAAGAAGGCCCGGCGACACCCTGTGAAGCTTTGGTGACCCCTAGTTAGGGTCCCGACCTATGAGTTTTGAGTTGCATTGACTTCCAGTTGAACCATGGTGCACACATGGTGGACCTGAAATATATTTATATTTATCTTATCCTTCAAATCCTATAATAAAAAAAAACGTAGGAAGAATGGCATGACACTAATATTACTACATTGCTGTCAAGTGACAGCATCTCAAAGCAGTGGCAAAGTTTAGGTGACATATTTTATAGATATTTCATATTATATTAAAAGTGTACAATGAACCCAAAGTGTGAATTCAGTAACTGCAAGAAGTTTGTATTAAGTGATTTGGAACAGATTATTTCCTATTTAGGAAACTTTTTATACAATTATCTGTGTGTAATATGTATTTTTATCATTTCTACCAATCCTACTTAAAAAAGAAAAAAGACTGCTTTCTTGTCCCTGATTCTTGGTCTTTGATCTATTAGACAATTTACTTTACAGGTTATTTTCTTGAAGTGAACCAAATGCTGAGAATTCGATCTACTGTGTATGTTTTTAAAAGCTTCATTTATAAGGTTCATTCCATTCACAATCCTTCAGCCGAGAAGACAAGATGCTCCTTGTTTGTTTGTTTTTATTCTGAACTTACCTAAGTAACATGAGTAACTGAAACACGTTTTTTATTATTTTATATTATATATTCTTATTAATCTTCTGCTATGTTGCACCAAATATAAAAATCCAATTACAAATTTCTAGCTGATATATTTTGAACCATTCGAATAAAAATTGAAATCTAATTATACAATAGTGTTCAGTTCAATGAAGAGCTCCCTCCAGTGGTCAGAGTGCAGAACTGCAACACCACACATTGTTTAATATAAGATTGTCAGACAATGTAGCACAACCAAAGGTATTGTGTTATTATTTCTTCTTTGTCAAAATCCAGTATTAAAACCTGAATTCTGATTAGGATGGGATTACTAAATCCATATCCCAATACTGGGACCTTGGGCCACTCTTTCACCTTCAATTTAGAAAAATATATAATAATAATAATAAAAATAAGGAAGTAGAAAGTAGTAACCTAAGATTAAATCTTTAATTGGACATTACATTTATACATTTAGTATGAAGTCTTCTAAAAAATATTTGATCATTCTCCAAAATAATAATAATAATTTCCAGCCACGGCAACAAATGCTCAAAGATTTAAAGTATTCAGAGGGAAAAATGTTACTGTGTGTTTTTAAAAATCAAAGAAGGAAAACTGTATTACTAAATATCCATCCAACCATCAAACCAAAATACAACAACAACTTCAGAATTCATTTGGACATTGATGGTGAATGTTCATCAGTTAAACTTGTATGAAAGTGTGTTTGTTTGTTTTTAGGAAAGACTAAATTATGTCCTTGGATTCTGGAGTCTGCAATCTGTCTGCAGTTATTGGAATAATAATCAGACTTTGTGGCCAATTGTATCACAAACAGACAATAGTTAATTCAATCAATAATCAATAATAATCAGTCGTTGTTGTGATCTCTTCATTTATTACCTAGCAACCTGTAGTTGTGTCATATGGTCCAGAATGAATCCATTATTATAAAACTACAACTAATTATTGACAGAGCAAACAGCCCCTGTACAAACGATCAATATATCCAACAATCAATAAACAACCACTATGTTAGTCTTTGTTGTTCGAGAGGCTGTTCGCTTGTCGCTTTCACTGAATGCTCATCAACAGGTGGCGTTGATTTCCTCCGACAATAACAACAGGAAAACAACAACAACAGTTTAAAACACCACGTTCCTTCTCACAATAATCTCTCATCGTCACCTCGTGTAACTCGAGTGAATTTGACCGATTATTTATTTGTTTGTTTGTTTGTTTGTTTACAGTCACCAACTGTACCGACGTTAGCATAGCTGTTAGCTCGCTAGCAACATACACAGCGACCCCGTGTTTGTTTGTTTGTTTGTTTGTTTGTGTGTGTGGCCGTTCGGCCTCCCACTGACCTTATAACTCACAACAAACTCCAGTTCTTCATCTTCTTTTCCTCCAGTCTCTCTCCTTCTTCCTCTCGTCCTCCTCATGTCTCCATGAAGCAGGTTCATGTATCCGGATGAGCGCGAACGTTTTCAGCCGCCGCGGATGCGTCATCGCGTCAGTTCGCTGACTGGAGCGAAGTCAGGAAGAGAGTCTGTTCGCTGGTGGAGAGTCATTGGTACACTGGGGGGGTATTGGGAATAATAAAGTGGGCAAAGAGGAAAACATGTTTTCATCTGACTATATTTATCTATATTCTGGTTTCTATGTCCTGAGGGATGGACTCAAGCATTGTGCACACTCTGGGATCAACTGTGTGTGTGTGTGTGTGTGTGTGTGTGTAGCATTTAATTTCCATAGTTATTAAATTTGACTTATTGTATAATATATAATATTGTCTGTATTGCTGAGGATACATTACTTGAAGGGGATTCAGGAAACAAGGCCTTTATAGCATTGAAAGAGACTGAACCCACATTCTTAAAACACCAGAAACACTCCTTACACCTTGAGCCACAGAGAGAGACTGTGACTCCTTTCTGGAGCTTTGATGTCTTTTCTCTGGACATCAGTCGACAAAATTCCATAACATACTCCTTGAGCCATGGTGTCTTCTTGGTGCAAGTGTTTATGTGTCTAGTCTTTATCACTGTCAGTAACACATCCCTATTTTTGGCAGTAAACAGTAAAGCTTTCATTTAGAAGCATCATCCTATATCATCCAGGCAATTTTACATTACATATTATGTCATGGTAGAACAGGAACAAAACAACCATTAGAGCTGGAAATTTAACATATGATAGAATATCTGTTATGTTCCAACAGAAAAAGGTCACATGACACACATATTGATTTTCATTTATTATCCTGACCTGTTTGTTCAATTACAATCAAAGTGACATGGAAAGAAGAAGAAAAAGCTTGCATAGAGAGATGACATTTTATTTTAAGAGAGGAGTGCTGACAAACATTCATATTTAAAAGTGAGGTGGACTGTACAGAAAGAGTGGTTGGTTGTTAGATGTGAGGCAGCTGGCTTAGGCTCTAAACTTTGGTACATTCTGGTTAGACAGACAGGGCAGTGCATTCAGTGAGGGAAATAATATTATTTTCATTCTGTGAATTGAATTGTTCAATCCCACTTGAATTCAACTGAATTTGCACATGAAAATTTACCAAACTTCCTATCCAAATGTTAACTTCATACATAAATAATGTTAGTTAGTATTCTGGATTAGAGTACATTCTCTAAAAGTGTAAACAAGGAAAACCGTAGGTCCAGGGCTTTATCAAAATCTGGTCCAGAAATTGAAAACAATACGATCAGTTTCAAATGTACCCTCCCTGACTTTGCATAAAATATGCTGTTTAAGTTTGTTTTTTGTCCCGTCAACACGCATAAAAAAGGAGCCTGTAGCATTTAGTCTACAGTACCTTTGGTCTTATTGAAGCCCATTTGTGCCAGGAAAAAAAAAGATGAAAAGTCAACTAAAAGTATGAAAAGACAAAGTCTTATCAAAAACATTTTTAAGATACTACAAAGCATGAAACAGCATTTAAATGTTACGAGATTTGAAGTTTGACCTACTAAGTCAGAAATAAGACAAAATTCATGTGACAGTCAGTTTTGACGAAATTTTTAGTCTAGTAATTTTGACTTAAGTCAGAGTAATAAAAGAATTCATAAGATAACGATGATGAGCATTTCTATTTTTAACAAAGATAACTTTTTATGTATTCATTTTTTCTCTTTGCAGAAATGGGCTTCCATATGGTCTGGATTTTGCCGTGAGTATAAAATGAGGCGTTCAGAAGGGTTTGTGTTAGCTCAGGAACTCAGCGGTTGACTTTTAGGTGTTGTAGGCCTGCATGTGGACAGTGATATTTCAATGTGGCAGTTCAAGGCGTGCTTACATTCATAGTGCAGGGGGGAATGTGAGTGAAGAGGACGGTAACAAGTATCTCAATGTACAAAAGAGAAAAGATCATTGCAAGCTCCTTCAAAACTGATTTTATACAAAATGTTCATGCTTTTCTATTATGAGGACTGTATGGTTTTTACTGTTTACTGTGCGCCTGCTGTGTGAAAACTCCACTAAACAACTTGATTAAATTAACAGAAACATTAACATTGAGTTGATACAATTCATTCAATATTGAAATTATGACAGAGTGCAAATCTAAAGGAACTATTCAACGGTGTCAGAGTTCGACTCTTCATGTCAGAAAGACATTTTACAGAGTTTACATACGTGTAATCAAATTGAGCCGTATAAACACACAAGTGGTTAACATCACAAGTGTAAAAAGAACAAAGAAAAGAGAAAACTTTCTGAGAGCTTCTAGTCATAGTGTGTGAGGTGAATAAAGAGCCAAAAACAATGAAAAGAAAATGTATTATTCTAATGAGCAACAGCGAGTATGCTGAGGAAACATTTTTATGCCAGTTGATATATGTTGATGTCTCTGAAGTCCTTTTTCTATAATTACATAATATATTGAACTTGGCAGCGTAAAATCTGATGACCTAACTGTGTCTTTGACACCAGCTGCTGTACTCAAGCTTGGCGAAATTTTTCAGTTCAGATGTGGGGGGGTATGGGTGGCAGGGGCGGATCTGGAGGGAGGCATGAAGGTGGGAAGCTACCAACGCTACTGAGGAGTCATTTTCAGTCACCACTACATCCAAAGCAGTGAAACAGCCCATTATTTTTAGCCTTGCTAAATGGATTGCCATTAAATTTGGTGCAAATACTTTGTCCAGTACTTTGGTTTATGACCAGTATTTAAAAAATTGTGTTATGTTTGAAGCTCTAACATTTAGGATATGTTGAGTCTTACAGTTGCTTCCTAAATAATGGATACTGATGAAGATCTGCTGGGAATTACAGCCTTAAAACTGCAGTGCTGGAAGATCGATTCTTAATATTTAATTAGAAAATAAATACAGAAGTGTCCTTCCTCTAACATCCATTATTATCTGTGCACAAGTCTGCACACAGACATACTGGAGATATTGTATCCATGACAGGATAGTCTACAGTAAGATAAGATAAGATACAATCAATGGACAAACATTTAACACTGAGTGATATCAGTGTTAAATGTTCATCCATTGATTGTATCTTATTAACTACATGCTCCTACAATGTTAAACAGGGATTATTCTGCCTGCTGTAGGTCAGAGTAGCTGGACTTAACTGTGGATAGAAAATAAGAAGGAAGGAGGGAGAGTGCATATCATTTATATATCAATCTGCAGAAGTAGCATGTATTTTCAGTCTCTTGCCACCCCATGTAAAATCCTCTAGATCCACCACTGGTGTGTGGACACATTTACTTTGTCTACTTGGATATTTTAATCTACAACTCTTGAGTGTAGACGACTTTTAACACATTTTTAGAGAATAGACCTGGATCAAAGCTTGTTTCAAATCAATTAAATACAATCAAAGTAAATGGATATGGTTACAATCTGTATGTAACTTAATTTACTCATCAACACATTATTAACTCAAGTAAGTGGTGGCCAAATATTTTTTTGCAAATTGATCCAGATCTGGTACAAAATCACTCCCCACTACATCATAAAGTTACATTCAAATCACAACATTTCACTGCCACGTCATTAGAAAAATCACTTCTTGTAGATGGAAACACTGTAACAACAATAGCAAAGTTTCTTGTTTGGGGTCTCCAAAATCAGCTGTATAAGTTCATTGGAAAACCCCACAAACTTTACCAAAAGTTACCTCAGATGGTCCTCCAAAGGCTTGGAGAAACAAATGCACAATCTACGTGAGTGCAGTCATTACAACAGACCACAAGGAGACGCTGTAATACAACGAGGGCGTCAGTGAAGCTCACAGTTCTGGACGTGCCTTATAATCCTTTGAGGTCCATCCAGATTAGGATAAAAGAGGTCCACTCAGCTTTTGCAGAGAAGGCAGTGGTTGCTTCTTCTTTGATGATAAACTTTAACCTTGTGGTATCAAAGAGAAAGTGACAAAAAAAAGCATCCCGGTCTCTGATTGATCAAACCCTGGCAGTTATGATTCTGGTCCCAAAGGCAGTGCGGGTCTTCATTTGTCACACAGGTGAAAGCGTGTGTTACTAAGTCGGTGCCAATTGCGTGCAGGTGCAACAAAAAAACAACTGTTTTACCTCTGTACTTGGGAAATTTCAAAAGGTCAGAGTGCAGCTTTGTGGTTGAAAAGGTCTTATCAGCCTCTGTTATAAAAAAAAAAAAAAAGCCCATTATAAATTAAACACAAACCATAAATCAGACTTTAAATCCAGCTTCTATCATGGCTCTCTCTCTCTTCACTTCCACCTGCAGTCCTTGAGAGGGTAGACTGAGGGGAGATGACGAGAACTGAATGGGGTGGAGAGACGAGGGTCTCATTCCAGCCCAAAGGTGCTGGTCTCTTCCACGGCAGTCAACATCTTCTCATACAGCATTGAGAAGGACGGGTACGGTGGGAGGTCCAGCCGGTTGAAACAAGTATGAGCTCTGGTAAGAGACCACAGGAAGTGATGTTAGACACTGCTTACATTTTCTTCTCTCGTGAGCAGCACGTTAGCAGCGTAGCAGCTGCATTCAGGTGCATTGCTGAAAGTAGGTCTTGGCAGCACTCAAGAACACAAAACACAATCACTGTAGTAACATGCATGAGACAAAAGAAAACATGTATGCTACAGTCGTGTTTTAATAAAAAATAGGACTGTGTATCAAATAAATTAATTCAAAATATCCTTTAATTAAATTGTTTTGATCATTTTCAAATGGTCAAACCATGGTGAGATTTGTTTACCTGGGCAGTGAAGTGACCTTCCCCCACTTCTCCACACAGAATCTTCTGGGTCCGTTGCTGCCTCGCAGGGAAGCAAAACCCTCGTAAGGAATACTGGACGTCCCGGTCACAAACTGAAGAGGCGGAGGGGCAGGAAGGAGAGAGGGACAGAGAAGGGAAAAAAGAAGATGACTCCGATACATTCGATACTTTATCTGAAAAGGTGAGTAAATAACAACCGTCTTTCTGTCTCAATCACACCGGGCCTACCTGCAGGAGTCGCAGTCTCTGCTCATTGTTGAACCTCTCTACGGCTGCCCAGAACCACCGGATCACAATATGGTTGTCATGGTAACCTGAACACAACACGTCATATCATGTAACTATGGCAATAGGATATCATGGAGAGGAATCAAGCTCAGTCGAGCCGTTGAACCAGAAACATTGCTGTCAAAACTGAACCGAGAGCTGTTTGAGAGATGAGACTATCGTGACTCAAGAGGGAAAAGGAGGTCAGTGCAGCAGCCAAAAAACACAGCAGAGACTGGAACCTGGAAAAACTGATATGTTGAAGACAAATAATCCCAAACAAGGATGTACATGAAGAGCTCAAAGCACAGGCTTTTTATTTTTATCTATAGTTTAATTTTAAAACAAATAAAACCTAAGGTGAGTTTATGTGCGATGGGGGCAACAGTGGTTTATGTGTGTATATATTTACAGGAGGAAGTAGGTTGAAACTTTATGTAAGCTCGTTGACGAATGATCTGGATGGATATCTGGTTAGTGGGTCTGTGTGCATGAATGTGTGAGTGTACATACTGTACAAGATTCAGTCTGTTGGTGTGTTCACGTACCTGTTCATAAATAATGCATGTTTTGGTTTAGGCGCAATCTCTATTTATCCTCACAAATCACATAATAAAACATAATAAAAACCCTCATTATCTCACTGGAAAATGTGCAAGAAAAAAGAAGGGGAGGTAAGAAAGAGTGCAAAACAGAGTTAGGGATAAGCAGAGCTAAATAAAAACATAAATAAGTTTACTTGGTTTGTATTTAATTGCTGTTGCTCACTAAATACAACAGTGCCGGTGGCTCTGTGGTGCTTTGAGCTAAATGCTAAAGTCACAATGCTAACATGCTAATATTTAACAGGTATAATATTTGCAGCCCAATGGGGCAGAGTGGTGGTGTGCATGTAAAAGTGTTTTTGCACGAGGAAAGACTTTCCTCTTTTCCTCCTTGTTACTGTAGAAACCACCGTAAACAAAATACAGTGTGTAATATTTATTGGCAGAAACAGTTTTCATTGGTGTATAATCAGCTGAAAATAAGAATCATTTTTGTAAGCAACTGAATTGTGATATGTAACTTCACCACTAGATGTCACTCAACCCTACACAATGTAAATGTTTGAAATAAAGTGGGTCTTCATACCTCCTCTGTACTCCGTGTTGTTCCTCCAGTCTGATAAGTCAATCTCAGCTGTGCCGGCGATCACCAGCTCCAGCTCCCTGGCATCAAACACTGACACCAGCCTGGCATCCACCACCTGGAAAACACACACACACATATCATCCTGCCACTTTTTCTACAGTACATTTAGACAGAGAAATTCAATCATTTAGAATATATGAAAACCTCCATGAGCCATACCTCGTAGAAACCTCTGACCAGGCTTTCAGTCTGCTGCACCACTCCTCTCTCTATCCTCCACTTCACCATCCGCTCAATGTATTCCTTCTTGTTCTTCTCAGAGACAGGGATGTTGGCACCGCCGGGCTTCAGCTCCCTTTCTGTTATCTATGGGAACACACACACAAAAACTTAATTCAATTGTAGCTGATCGTTCTATATCTATCTCAATGCTTTTGCCATAAAATACATTTTGGAAACACACACACACACACACACACACACACACACACACACACACACACACACACACACACACACACACACACACACACACACACACACACACACACACACACACACACACACACCTGTCCGAAGACTTCTTCATTGACGGTGAAGGTGAGGTCCAGCATGTCTTCTATGTCATTGTCCTTCATCCACTGAAGGGACTGGTGAAACTCCTCATCCAGATACTCCAGGTCACTCAGTTCACAGGGACTACGTGGTGAGAAATGAGCGTGAGTGTGTGTGTCCTGAATTTGAATCAATGTTTATGCATACATGTCCCTGCTATACGTACATGCGCAGTAGGCCTTTATAGAAAGGTCTGGTGAAGAAAGCATCCAGCAAGTACTGATGGATCAGAGCCAAACCCAGAATACGACCACTGAACCGGAACCTAAAACACAAACACACATTAACACACATTTAAAAATATATATTTTTAAAGTAATCAGGATACTAAAGATCATATTTGAGCTTCACCACTGTCTCTCACCATTCGTGGTGATTGTCCACGAAGGCGGACATGGGGCTGATCTGGACGGTGTAGGTGTCGTTGGCAGAGTACTCAAACAGACCATAATAAGGGTTGAACAGCTCCCTGGAAACCAAGAAGAAGAACTCTCTGGAAGGCCCGCTGTAGTCCAACCTGCAACATACACACATATTTAACCTACTATACAGTGGTGGAAGAAGTACTCAGATCAGTATTCAGTGTGTACGTATCTAATTATGTACGTATAATCAGGAAAACATACTTAAAGTATTAAAAGTAAATGTACTCAAGGCAGAAAAAGGTCTCCTGTGAGTGATCGCTATTATTTATTTATTTATTTATTAATACTTAATAATTAATGTAAAAGCAGCATTTTACTGTTGATTGTTTGGTTTGTAAAAGTTTGAAAATAGTGAGAAATGTCATCACAATGAGTCTGAATCAAAGGGAAAAGCAGTACATCCTCACATTTCAAAAGCTGGAACCATAAAATGTTTTTACATGAAAACCTACTTCATTGATCATCAAAATAGTTGCCAAATAATTTTCTTTTCTTTAATTGATAATTGACTAATCATTTCAACTGCACTATAAATGTTTTAGTTTATAACAAAGCTTCATATTTTATAAGCTCTTTGTATGTTTTGTGTGTAAAAATCAAATAAATGTTGTGAAGAAAAAAGTACAATATTTCCCTCTGCGATGTGGTAGAGTAGAAGTAGAAGTACTTTACTCAAAAGACTTGAGTAAAGTACCTCCAATTTGTACTCAAATACAGAACATATTACATATTACTGTTCTGGTTAAAAATAAGGTTTAAAATAAAATAATAAGATAAGATAACCTACATTAGCCAGATTGTCCAGGAATTGAGATATAATATGCACACACGTGTTGTGGGTTTCATGCTTGTTCTTCTCCACCCTCCCACATACTCACCCCTCCTCCCCTACAAAGCTGACGTAGAGCTTGCTGCGCTGCAGGTCTTTACGGGAGTAGCACATGATCTGGTTGAAGGCATCCTCCAGCAGGTGGTCCCGTCGGATAATCAACCTGACACACACACACAGGCAAGTGAGTGGACAGCACACACACACACACACACACACGCAAAATACATAATAAATATACAAATAAACAGAAAGGAAAGGGTGCTCTCTTCAGACAAATATTCCACTTACTTTAGCTTCCCCGGTCCTTGGCCGTAGCCTTTAGTTTCCAGTTTCCTGTAGAAGTTGCGGAGTTTGGCCTCAAAGTCTCTCTTGTAGGGTGCTGGGGCTCTGGCATTAGCTCTCTGAGTACCTACAAGCACAGAGAAAGAAGGAAGAAAATCTAATTCCAGGGCTTATTTTGTCATTAAGTGTTGTAATGTATTTAACTGAACTGCCTTTCCCACAATACCTTTTAACAAATGTAGACATTCATCATCTATCAGCAGTGACTAAGCATTCAGGGCATTAAGGCATTAAAGGTAAAATTACTATGAATTTCAATAACATATCAGCCACTGTTATCACTGAACGCCTGAACGTTAAGGCACAGAACGGAAAGGTGCTGGCCTTAATGCCAGTTTTCAATACACTGTAATGTATGTGTGTGACTCGTCTGTCAGTCTCCTACCAGGCGAGTTCTGTGGGGAGGAGACAGGCGATCCCCGAGGTGACTGACAGTAGCTGGGGTGAAGTAAGGCGTGAGGAGGCACGTAGGACATTACTTCATCTTCAAACAGACTGCAGAGAGGAGAGAGAGCGAGGAAGAAATTGAATGAACTGAATTAATTCGATAGAGGGGCTCAAGTTGAAAGCAGGAGAGAGAAAGGAAGGACATACATTAAGGAGGAAACAAGGAAGCAAAGAGGGATAGTGATACACAACTAATACAATAAGACACGGAAGGGAAATAGACAGGGAAGTAAATTAGAAGGAGGGGGAAAAAAAGGGGATGAAATAAGGACACAAATATCAGGGAGGGATGGAGACGTTGAGGGGAAGGAAGGAAGGAAGGAAGGAAGGAAGGAAGGAAGGAAGGAAGGAAGGAAGGAAGGAAGGAAGCAGGTCTCACCTTAGCAGCATGACAAGGTCAGCGTCACCTGACAGCCTCGCCAATCCTGACCCTCCATCTGTGCGGATCAGCTGCACCTTCTCCCTGTTGTCATAGCAACATTTACACTGAGAGAGAGGCTGGTGGGAGTGTTGCTTCATATGGAAGCTATACATATAAATACTAAACTCTGCGCCAGGTACCACGCGTGTACACGGATTGTACCTGAGTGAATGGTTGCGGTTGAAGTCGGGCTGTCTCTCCTGCAAAATCTCAAAGATGTTTGGTTGTCGCAGAAACGCCACAATCTTGTCGTTGTAAGCTAGAAGAGGAGCACACACACATTGGTTCAGGTCAAATTTGATTTCATTTCTGAATGGTTGTGTGTCTGTGCATATACTGACCCACTGGTACGACGTCTTGGCACTGACCCCGGTTAGCAGAGGTGAAGGTGCTCGAAGGCCGCGGCAGGACGGGTGGGCCGGCATGACGGGGGTCTTCACCCACCTACAGAGAGAGGGAAGTAAGTTAGAGAAGCAGTCCACCACAGCCACAACCAGAGTTAACAACCCCAATTTGCTGGAGTTTGCCCAGAATAAGAAAACCAGGTCGGTGTGCGTGTCTTACCAGTCGTCGTGGGCTGACCTCCCCGGCACTGTGGCTGCGTTGGCGGGTCAGGTGTTGGCGGTGAGCTAAGATGCTCGGCGGCCGAGTGCTCTGAAGAGGCAGCCGGGGGTCGATGAAGGTGGTGGCACGGCAGTTATGGTCCACGAAGAAAGGCTGCATGTGTACACACAAGAAACAGTCATGTATCCATTGTACATCTCCACACATCATACCTCAGTGTGCATGCATGACAAGTTGGGCCAAAAATATTTAAAGATCTCCTCAAGAGACAGGATGCCACTGTGTAAGTCGCCAAGACTTGGTTTCCAAATTAGTTGCGTAAAATCCTGCTTATAAGTACGTACATACAAGCAGGATTTTGTGTGGCATTAAATGCATTATAAGTTCTAAATGCGTCCTGTGTTACTTTTGATGCCACAAAATGAAAAAAAAGACAATATGAACAATATGTATTTCTGTGAGACTTTTAATAACATTGTGTGACATAAAATAACATTTTAATATTCATAAAATGAATAAATAAAATGTATTATTGTATGTATTTATTTATAAATTTTTAAACTGTATTTATTCCTGCATTTTTTTGTCTTTGTGGTAATGTAGTAAATTTTACTAAACTGTAGCATAATAAATGACATAATGTAGAAATGCAGATTTGTTGTTGATTTAATTAATTCATTTAAATATTTATTTATGTAGTTATGTAGACGAATAAGTAATTTTACATGCTCAATACAGGAAATTCTAACTTTGATAAATTAACAGGGTAATGATATTCTATACCTTAATTAAACAATAAAAATCTTAATCTCTTTAAACACTGACATGAACCCACATTTAATATTTTTACATTTTAAAACACCACAAATTAGAAATAAGGTGTCGTCATACCTTGCCGGTGTGGTCGTGCTTCATCTCCCAGCCTCTGGGCAGCTCCAGCTGTTTGTTGGCGAACATGTTGAGGAAGGCCACCAGGTCCCTGTTGTGCTGATAGCGCTCAAAGTGGTGAGCATCCCGACGAACCTTACTGATCATATGCTTCAGACACGTGTTGGTGGTGAACATACGATAGGCACTCTGAGAGAGAGACGGTGAGGGAGAGAGAGAGAAGCAAAAAAAAAGCAGAGAGGATAGAGGAAACACATCCACCAGAGAGAGAAGACAAGTTTTGTTGAGTGAAGTTGTCCCACTGTGATACTGTGTAGTTGCTATCCATCACCATTATTTTGTATGTGCTTTGGTTTATGAGTTAGGGGCTGTATGAAAATTATGGTTGTGGGGAAGGGGGGCTGAATCTTACATTCAATTGTAAGAACTTTCCCAGTGTTCCCAAAAAATAAGGTATTTTTGGCAACAAAATGGTGAATATTCCAGCCCCCTTTACTCATGCTAGTGGTATGGTTCAAGGGATGGCAGCGTCAGTCAGACAGCCCACCACTTTGGTTCACCTTACCACCCAAAAGGCACCTTTTCACTGTAGCTATATGATTTTTTTTGGAGTTGTTTGTTATACAGTAAAAAAGATACATACATCTGGGATCAAAAAGAGAGAAACTACCTTCAATACAGTACAAAGAAAAACACATTAACCTTACACTTTTCTGAGCTCATCATTTTCATACAGCTCCTAATGAGTGCGTGTGGTCAACAGAGGTTTAAGAGAAGGACTTGTAATTTCCCAAAACAACTAGCAGTGAATGATCGATGAGAAAGATGCAGGCAAAAAGAGAGATTGTTAGTTGGAGATGGTTGAAAGAAAGAAGAAGAGTGTCCGTACAGGGTTGGAATGCAGCACAGTGAAGAAGTCGGGGCTGGTGAGGAACTTGGCGCTGGGGGATTGAAGCAGCAGGATGAGGCGAGACCTGGAACCGGAGTGAGCCACACTATTCTCCCTACGCAGCTCTGCAACACAAAAACAAAGTCAGAAAAAGTGCACAAAGCATTTAAAGACTGCGTAGACGAGTATGCAGTGCGGTGTGAGAGGATTACCTGGGATAGAGGGGTGCATGTCAGTCTCGTCCGGTGGCAGCTCATTGGCTGGCTGCTCCTCTGGTCTGCTGTCATTGGTTATGGTCCTACGTATACTCTGATACCTGTACGATACAAGTGTGAAAATTTTAACTAATTTTTTTTTAACTTTGCTGCTTGTATTTTCAGGTTCGAGGCTGACCATACAGTATCTGTGTGTCCTGACCTGCGGTTCAGCTGCTCCATCTGTTGTATGGAGTTGGACCTCTGGAGGGTCTGTTGGGCAGGGGGAGCGGTGGGACGCTGCCAAGTTGTGGTTCTGTTCACGTGGTCCACGTAAAAGATCCGACCGTGGCTGTCGATACGAGCCTCCCAGTCTGGTTCACATACAAACACACACACACAATAGCAAGACCATGCTGAAAATGCAAAGTTTTTTTTTTTTTTTTTTTTTATCTAAATAAAGACAGTCACAATCAAATCAAACAAACAAATCAGTCACAAAGCTAGATTATACTACCAGAAAGTGATCCAAAATACTTCATATTTTGAGTTTTGACCAATACAATTCGTCTATTCTGACTGTCAGATCTGTATAAAAGCTGTATAATTGACTTTGGTCTCATTGGATGGCATGGCTATGGGGCATAATTTACTGTTTAGTGTAAACAAACAAGAGTAAAAAGGAAAAGTGATGAAGAAACTCTAGTTCAGTACATGTTTCTACAACACTTAAACCTCCCTTATTTAAAGTCGCTCTCCACTCAAAAATCTCTTTTTAAGGATTTTAATGTGGAATTTATACTTAGTATACTATCAGACACACATTACTGTTACAAGCAGTGCAGCAATCCTTGTTTGGATATTCCATTGACATTGTGGACGGCCTAACCCAAACCTTTTACCCTAATCTTAACCTAACCTCAGAAAGGACGTTTAGTTGCATTAGGGCCAGTCTTAGGTCCCCATTAAGACTAGGGTTGCACAATTATCTATTATTATCGAAATCACAATATAGTCAAGTGCAATATCCAAATAAAAGTACTACATGTGTTTCATAAAGGTAAAATGTGTGAAAACAGGTACTGTAGTGCTGCAGAGAAGCCCTGGCCTACATGTCTTGTTCTACAGATGTAAGAAACATTGTTTGTTTGGGACAGACCCCAACAGATGTCACATCATCATGATTTTAATAGTTTCTTCAGTAAAAATAAACATAGTAATGCAAAAGTTACTATTCAACTGTGAATTGTATCGCAATTACAGTATCTGTCACAATAATCACAATATGATCTTTTACTGGATCGTACAGCCCTTATGACAAGGTCAGTGTCCCCAATAGGTAATAAAAACGCGCAAACACACACACGCACGTGTACTTATGTCACTTTTTCTAAAAATGAGCTTTTTCTACACAACTTTTGCCTGGTCTTTAGTCTGAAAGGTGTCCTCGAAGGTAGACCACAGACACACACACACACACACACACACACACACACACACACACACGCACTCACTAGGCGGTAGCGACTCGTCCACTCTCTGGTAACGACTGATGTCATGGCGGACAGACGGCAGGGAACGAACAGACTGGTGGCCATTGACCTGAGCTGTAGCACCTACACACACGCGCACACACACACACACACACACACATATATGAGGTCATCAAAACCGCGAAACATTTTTGCATCAGTTTAAATATAAGAAAATGCAAAAATGTCTTTTTATATGTGAATATATTTCCAGCAAAGCTGCAAAACCTCATGACCTTCACAGTACCAGATCAGATCGTACAGCCGGTTCCTCTCCCCTCAAGCACAGCACTGTTTCCTACAATTATCTAATACTGTCAAAAGGTTAAATAACCGCAACTGTTCTCTCTGTAATCCAGCAGCTTTTTGGCGGCTGCAGAAAACTTGTTCTGATCTGGATAATGCTCCAGTCTTTTATTAATACTCACTGATCGCTCAATCCTCTTGACTCAGGGATGTTGCTTTTATTTTGTATTTGTGGCAGCATACAATGATTATTGGTGGTGGCATTCATTTGTCTTAATTCTAACAAATCTATTTAGACTTGGGAGGCTTACAAGAACAAAGAAAGGAATGAAAATAGATCAAAACAAAGCAACATATAAAATGTTAAGAAAATGACCTTCTTCGCCCATGCAGCCTGTAAATGTCTGAGTTAATATGCTCCTGTTACATGAGACCACAGCCTGAGTTAAAGACAACTAGCAGCAGTCACTCCAGCAGGAGGCTGGAAGATATAGACATGAAAATTGAATGATTAATACCCTTGATTCCCTCAATAACAACTATTAAGGAGACCTCGAGCGAAACAATTAACCTCCAGCTGCTCCAGTGGAGCTGCTCAGTCACACCTGATAGAGAAGTAAAGCTGTGCAGGAGGTGTGTGGAAATGCGTGTGTTCCCTTGTAACTAAATCTGGAGTGTTAATAATAATTTGTTTAAGAAAAAAAAAAAAAAACATCTCACCTGTTTCTCTCTCCACCCCCGGTGTCTCATTTGGACTCTCTCTGGCCCTGACAACCTCCTGGTTTTGGGCCATACCTCCAGAGGCCTGCATGGACTGCCTCCTCCTCCACACCTCCCCTCCCTCCTCCTCCTCCTGCCCATCCCCACCACTGGCACTCGCTCCTGTAATTTAAACAAGACTTTCTGTTTACGTGTGTAAACCAACAAGGAGGCAGAAATTAAGTGTGCAGAATGGACACTGAAGACAGAGAACATGTTTCAAGTTTAATGAGCAATATTCATATAAAGGTGAGACACTTTACTTTAAGATCCTGTTACAATGCTTTAAATAAACTCACCATTTAAAGCATTGGGAGTAACAGCTTGTAGGTCTCTGAGGGATAATTACTGAGCCTGCTGCAAATTACCATCTGAGGAACACAACTTTGTGACACCGCAGTGTGTCTTTAGGAGGTTATTTACAAGGACTTTAGATTTAAATGAACCCAGCTGCAGTTTCTTCTGATTTGCATAAAGTGACACTAAATAAGACTAAAGTAATGGAGCTCAATTTTCAGCAGTGCAACTTGTCTTCCATTTTACCTGCAGAAAACTCCAGTTTGGTCCTTTAACTGTTTGGTACCTGAAAAACAGCACCAAATCCTTTTAAACAAAAGCATTTACCACCTACCAGCTGCAGAAGCCCCTCTTCCTCGGTCAGCTACGTTGCTGCTGGTCGGAGCAGCTGCTGTTACTGGCCCGTTCGCCTCGCTGCTCGATGACTCCCCTCCTTCCTCCTCCGCCTTCGGAGCCACTTCTTTTCTTGTCTCCACCTCCTGAGGAGAGAACAGGACATTTTGAAAAAAAGCTCTTCCTAAGTAAGTAGTTTTTCAGTGGCCTGAACTACTGCCGCTCACCTGAATGGGTGAAAGTGGACCAAGTGAGGAATTGCACGGAACTTCCTGGTTTGCATCTGTCCTGCTGCTCTGCTCCTGACAGGTACACTCCCCCACAGACTCCCCCGGCCCGGGTTCTGCTGCCGCTGCCTCAGCCCCTGCTGCCTGAGAGGTTTCTCCTGTGACATGTGCAGCCTCAGCTGTCACTCCAGCGACCTCTCCGGTCCCAGTGGCGGTTGATGTTCCCACCTGCATTTGGACTCCAGCTGCACCTTCTGCAGCTCCAGGTTCAGCCCCTGCAGGCTCAGTCTCTGACTGAGAACTAGCAGAGGAACCTGCCTCTGTTGCGGCCCCAGCCCCAGCTCCAGTCTGCCCCTGTTGCTCTGCTTTTGATCCCTCGTTCCCCGGTTGAGATTCAGATGTACCCGGACTCCTTGATGAGGCTAAGTCCGTGCTCTGCTGTGTCCTCACCTCCTGGGATTGCTCCCTGTGCTGCCCCGCCGTCTCCTCATCCTCATCTGAGTCTATGTGTAGCATAGCATTTAGCCGCGTGTCTGTTGGAAAGCTGGAGCGGAGTTTTGGCGAAGGCCCTGCCAGAGGCCGGTCCCCAGGGCTCCTGGGTGCCTCGATGGCATCCAGATAGTCGTTGAGTGACACCTGCCGGTGGGTGTGGCCGCCCAGAGCCACAGGAAGCAGATCCTCCTCTCCCATCTGCCCAGGCTCCCGCCACACGCTGTCCTCACCATAGTAACAAGCGCCGTTGACCATCGGGGAGCCCTCGTCAGAGCCCGTGGGAGATGGTCCACATGTGACGCGTGAGGATGAGGGCGGTTGAGGGAGGTCTTCGTCATCAGAGGGACTGCCGGGGTCCCCGTTCACTGCCCCACCCAAGATGGTTCCCACAGCGTCTGGGGACGCTTCTGACAGAAAGAGGGGACGCACGAGGAGGAGGGATAAAAGATGGAGATTGGAAATAAACCAAGCAAACAGTTTAGGGAAAATATGTGAATACTCATCTAACATTCAGAATGGAAGCATTAAACATCATACAAGCTCAATGAAAGTTTGCATTAATAACTGGTGAAAATACTAAAATATCCCACATGTGGAATTTAATGTATGTTAAACATTGTAAAATTCCTCTTTGAAAATGATATCTCTAAATAAATCCCCTGGCCTGTTCTTTATCCTCACATGGAAATTAATAATCAATAGCAATTTATACTGACTGATGGTCAGTCTGGTATGACGACATGTTTTATATTTATTTTTGGAATTTAATATATAACGTTATATCCTGTATGTTCGTAGGTATTCATAGGTGTGTTAGTGTTATGTAAGAGAGGGAAAATCATGTACTTGGAGGTGTTTAACTCTACCGCTCGCCTCACACCAGATCAATTACATTTGTAGAATTGATTTGTAGACATGACATGACATGACATGACATTATGAGACCATAAATACAATATTTATGTCAGGAACATCACAATAAGAAACTATTTTTGATCACATGAAACATTCTAGCACTAATTAAAGTGAGTATAATCACACACACACACACACCTTCTTGTCCTGTGGAGGTGATATCCACTCTGAACAGAAGCTGCCCACTCACATGGTCCGTAGGGAGACGACGACACAGGCTGTAGCTGACTGGCTGGTCGCTGCAAGCAGATATGGGTATACAATCCTACATTATGCACAATATAAATATACATTTCCTTCAACCAACATAAACACTCAAGCTGTGAGAAACCATGTGCACACACACTATACATCATGGTTCACTGAGTACATGCTGTCCTCAGCTGTAGATCAATACTAAATCGATGCCTGAACAATGAGATGATTGGGACATATCGATTGGTATTGACTGAACAATGTTGAGTCACTGCGGTTAAGTGCTGAAGGTCAGATGTGTGTGCAGACATTCTCTCTGTCTGGGTGCAGAAGCAGGAGGTGCACACACACACACACACACACACACACACACACACACACACACACACACACACACACACACACACACACACACACACACACACACACACACACACACACACACACACACACACACACACACACACACACACACACACACACACACACCATGGTCAGTCTATTTAAAAACCTCTAGCTGTGCACCCAAACTTAATACACACACAAGCACGGTGCGTGTGGACTCACTCAGCTGTCGGCCCCTCCAGGAGTCTCTGCACAGGCATGATCAGCTGACCCAGAAACCGCTTGATGATTGGCCGGCTCTTGGCAAACTTATCCTTCACCTCGATCTCCAACACGTCAGTCATCAGAGCCACAAAGGTGTATTTCTACAGGATGATCAATAGTAAAAAGTATAGTTTTATTTTCACATTTTACCTGGACATCTGGTATATTTACAGTCTTTTTATTTACATTATTAAGAAATACATGAAATTCCAAGCTATGCTCTTGAGTATGCTCTATGTAACTGTAATAATCAACTCTGAGGTGTCCTGTTCCAGAAATAATGGACTTATTAATAATGGACACCACATCGTGCATTAACACTTATGTAATTCCTCTGTGGATGCCACAAGTGTGTGTGTCTGTTTGTGCTGACCTCCCCGTGCCACACAGGGTTGGTGGTGTTGGCTATGATGGAGGAGCGCCTCTCCTGGCCGTGGTGGGTGAACTTGGGGAGGCCGCTCCTCTTTCCGGGCTGGATGGACATCTTCAGGTAGGGGTCAGGGTTGAAAAACATGCCCTTCTTCAGGCCTGCTGCCCGGATGTCTAAAGCGAAAAACATCCAGTCATTAGCATGTGTTTTCTTTTTACTTAATGACAACTACAACACAATGTCACTGAATCATTCTTCTCACCTGACAGGGTGAAGCTGACTAGTTTCCGACAGTGCTCAGTCCCTGATTGGTCCTCCACTTGGCCTTCAGTGCCCACCTTATGAGAAACAACCAATAGGAGAGGAGTGTGAGTGGATCACGTACCATTCCCATTTTTAGAGTGAACTGGCTTCACTCCCAGAGCAAAATAACCCCAAAAACACAAGTTTGATGAAAAGTTAAAAGGAGGAATCATCAAAGGAATAATGGTCTGAGAGTTCTGATTCAAGCTGACTGCTTTAAATTTTACTGACTCAACTGGAGCAAACGTCTCTTCGCCTCAGTTTGTCCTGCTGACATCCACCTCTCTCCATTCATCTCCCTCTGCTGACTCTGACTGCATCCTTGACGTCCCCAAATTTGTTTCCAGATTCTGTCTTAGACGAGATGAGCTCCACCAACACATTCTGGGGGCTAAGGGCTAATTTATGACTGCTTAAATTGTTGGTTCTGATCAATCTCCATTTTCTTGGTTATAACACCATATTCTGCAGGTTAGGACTCCTCTGCAGCTCTTCTAAACATCAGCACAGATAGGAATCGTTCCCTAACACAAGAAAGTTTAGAAAATGCTTTCACTTCTAGCCCTCAATCAGACGGCAGTATTAAGGGATTGTTTAATATGAGAGAAAATCCAATATGCAGAAAAGGAGTAGAAAATAAGATGGTAAAAGATTCAAGGTGAAGGAATGACGCAGATGCAGATGGGACATACCAGTACTCCAGGGTTCTTGACGGTGATACAAGGCGTCGTTGCTCTTAATGCTCCACTTACACCATGATAGTATTTAAAGCAGACCTTAGTCTCCGCTGTGGAGAGAACACAGACACAAATGATCATCAGGGTTATTTTTTTTCAGACTTGACAGCTGTAAAAATCATTGAAAAGCCCCTTTAGCAACACATAAATGTAATAAAGTCCACTCACGCTCCATGAAGTAGGGTTCGGGCTCCAGTCTCCACACGATCTGTCCCCTCTGGGTGCCGTTCACGCCACGGTTCTTGGAGTCCCACACATTGGCCACACACGTCTCATCTGTGAAACACACACACACATTTACATTCAGTTTTATGTTTTAATAACACACACAGATGCTTTTGTAAATCAGGCAACAGTTGTAAGATGTTAATGAAAAAAGGGGCAGATGTAAAAAAAAAACAATTAACAGAACAGGACATTTAGCAAGGTCACATACCGCAGCAACAGCTATTGAGCTATTGACTCACTTAATGAGGCAGCAGCATGCACGGACACATCGAGAGTTGATTTATGTAAACACATAAGTAAAGATAGTATGATGGTACTGTCAAAAGTCAAGAGTGAGACAAAAGCACAAAAGGACCAAAATTACAAGATGGATTTGGGGGCATTATCAGTGTGTTTAACCTGTACACTTGAGATCACAGTGTTCATTATTTTTTAGTTCTATTTGCATCCAATGTTCAATTAATACAATAAACTGAATACTTAAAAATATCAGAAGAGAACCAAAATACAGCCAACACTTCCCCAAAGCATCTGCTCATCCATTTATCACTGCATAGTTGAAAAAAAAGACCTTTCTCCTATTATAATCATATTTCTGCAGTTCATTATGTTCATTATGTTGTAAATGTAAAATGTCAAAGGTTTTTTAATTTCAGCTTATTTATTTATTTTTAATCATATTTAGAATATTTAAAATATTTAAAATCACATCAGTCAGAGAATTTGTCCTGGCGGGGTCTGTTAAACCTACTTTGGAAAGTCTTACATATGAAAGAACACTGAAATGAGAAAAAATCCACATTTGAGCTCCATAATGTGGTGGAAATACTACATCACAGCCCATTTCCAGTAACCCAAGACACTAACATTAATGACAAACTTCAGTAAAATGTAATGCCTCACGGCTATACAGCTGGATAAGAGTACTGTCACCACAAAGATAATTAAGTCCATCAATCATTATTAAGCTGCCAATCATTGATTCTGTCTCAGTCATCACCTCCATTGCCTTTTAACCTGTGCTGCCACCTGACACAGCCTGAAATATGTTACAAGTCAAATAGTTTTAACTACTTTAGAGGCAGTTAGGTCATTTAGTCGTGTGTTTCCCCTGGGCCACTCCAAAGGGTCACAAGATTAATCTGAGGGGTCGTGAGATGAAACGCTGGCTGCACAGGTTTGAATTGCTTTTACTATCTTTTATGGTTGTCTTATTTAATTAACTTTTTCTTTTTGTTGTTGGCTCTCTATTTTGTCAATTTCTTGTGAAGCTCTTTGAATTGCGTTTTATTTATTTGAAAGGTATAGAGATAAAGCATGATTCATTGATTTTGCAGCTGGGTCATTGTCACCTTGATGATTACATTTTTCGATCCTGGTCAGCTTATGATCCATGATGCCACACTACCACTGAGAGTCTTCTCTTTATGTTGTTCTCAGTTTGCGTTGTTTGGAAATTGTTGGGGGGGGGGGTTAGTTGCATTGACTAACTGACATGATGGAGGATACTGGTACCTGAGGGAAACTCTGCCCTTAGGTCATAAACCACATTCCTGCCTGCACCATCAAACATTTACGTGTACGTCCTGTGATAAATAGCCGTGTCCTGATGGATCAATGCTGATGCCTGTCAGCCACAGTCACACACACACATACCTTGCCCTCTGTCACACCAGGTCACCATCAATAAACCCTGATAGGTATTCCTCACACACACAAATATACACACACCTGTCTCGAGTGACAACCCTGCAATCATCCTTATAAACTACAGTCTGAGAGAACCTGTATACACACATACAGGTCAGACAGCAGAGGGAGGTTAAGGAGCTCAGGCGGCTCCAGGGAAGAATGGCTGACAGCCAGGCTGGAAACAGTGCACGCCCCTGGGGAGAAAAAACCCAGAGATCCCCCCTGCCTGTGGGTCAATACCTCCAAAGAGCTGCAGAGAGGATAGTGGAATGGAGAGATCACCTTTCAACGGCTTTCTCTATATCTGTCTGGGTAAAAGGATGGCCCACCCTCACTCTCGTTCACACACAAAATCAGTCACCTGTGGTTTGAAAAGACCTTAGCTTCTGTAAAATGGTGTGCATTTCACCGGCTGCTGAAAGCTGCCCTTTCACACCTGAGCCTGAGAGCGACTCTGAGCCCAGCAGACTCAGACTGTTAACAGAGACGGGCTTTTATCTGACATTAAACTCATGCTACTGTATCAGAATGAGTACTAACAATAGTAGCGAGTGGAAAAATATCCGTGGATCAATGCTGTAAGGCGGAGGAATGAAAAACATCGGTTATGGGCCACATATAGCCACTGGTTTCGGTTTGTACTGATTATGACAGACAAATACTTAGATTATATGTCCTCTCCACACATCCACATTGTTGTTGTTAACTGCAGGGACTGTACAAAAATCACAGGATATTGTAATTTTTTTATGTCTATCTTCACTTCTGAGATGTATTATTATGATTATTATTATTATTATTATTATTATAATAAACAAGAGATAAAATAGTTACATTATTTTTATTTTTTAAACACAATATATGTGTAAATAAATGTGTCAAACTCTTATTGTGCGTCTTGGTTAAAAATCAATGTTTTCTTAAAGGGGTAGTACTTTAGCATTGCTCTTCCAACAAACTGGGGGACTTTTAACAAAAGAATGGTTAAAATTGGTAAAGCAGAGGTTGAGATATCATATAAGCTCCAAAAAAACACTGGTTTGGCATAATGCAACTCCATAGCATCTTCTACTAGACCATCCCTTATCATAGATTTCTAGCCTCTAGTCCAATGTTGAGTGCCCACTTAAGCTATTTAATGTTTAAATTGGGATACACAATCTTAAAATTCTTTTTGATTTATTATACATAGATTTTAAAGGGAAGGTCCAAAGAAAATAATAACAATGCTGGGGAGAGCCCTATCCCAGTAATTGTCTCACAGTGTCTTCTTGTGATGACGGCAGCTTAAAAAACACTTACACTACTAGAAAATGGAAGAAAATTGAAATTAAATTAAATTTGTGGTGCTGATTATGTCCCTTAAGGTACAAAAAACCAACAACCCACATCTCCTTGTAAAATTTAACTCGCGTATACGCACAGATTTTTCTAGTATAGTTTTGGGACAGACAGGTAGCGCTTCACCTCACACCCTCCATCATTCACAAGTACATCACTGTAGGACGAGAAGGATGTACTTAAAATGATGTGTGAGTGTGAGTGTAATATGAGAAGAAACATACTGCTCATAAACGCTACTGATGCTGAGTCAGCATCACTTTCTTCAGGATAACCTACTCCCTTTCTCTCGCCATCTTTTTCTGACACACACACACACACACAATCCATTAGCCAGTTAATGTAGCAGCCGTGGGGCTGATGTAATGCTCTAACCTTGAGGAGATGAGTTACAAGTCGCAACCTCCTCAACAGCGCTATCATATCACTATCCCACAGCAATTTTTACAGGCAGGGAAACAGATAGAGGGAGAGACGACATGAGATGGAGAGACATGAAGCAGGAAGACAGGCGAGAATGATGACGATACAATTAATAGCTTACTGGACAGCAAAAAATAAATACCTGTAAACTTGCTGTTCATTTTGTTATTTTAGTGATATTACAGTAAAATTAATCGTCTGAAAAGGTAGATTTGCGTTCGCTGTAATGTGATCATGAGTGTAGCCTTGGTGAGTTTGAAGCCAACAGAGTAATTCATGATGTTAAAATGCAAATACCAGCCAACAATGAGAAATCAGGTGTGGCAAGAATGCATGAAAAGATGTTAGTGCTGAAACGATTGGTCCATGAACGAGCCACGGCTTACTACAGCCACATACACACAGTATACATAGAGGTTGGAGGATATTTCTATAAAACCAAAAAAAAAGCGAAATTGATTAAACTGTGTGTGTGTGTGTGTGTGTGTGTGTGTGTGTGTGTGTGTGTGTGTGTGTGTGTGTGTGTGTGCTTTAATTGAAGCTTCAAATTGTAGCATGCCTGGCTAACCAGCTTACAGCCATATCAGCTGTGTTGTATCCTGCACTGTGTGGGAGCCGGTCCTGGGCCCCATCAGAGTTTAGTCTAACGTCAGTGACTCTGCCTTGCTCTTTATTGGATTTGGCGACTGCACTCAAACACTGAGGCTAACCATTACCCTGAAATTCAAGAACAATACTGCTCCTTTATTTCTATGTACAGATCTTAAAGTCCCCTTCCTGAAGCGGACTGTTCCACACTTCAGTGGGGGGAGGTGAGTTTGAGTTTGCTCACCGATGTGGTACAGGCCAATCCAGTCGGTGGCATCCACTTCCTCCTTGATGTCCCAGGAGATGACCAGGTGGCTGTGGCCTAGAGTCAGCTGGTACATAGACGCCGTGAGCGATGACCGGCTGTCTGACGTCACCAGGTCCGTGTCACTATTGGCCCGCTGGAGCCCCACGCCCGTCGTTTCTGGTTGGTTCCCGGACGACATAGCGGAGGAGGACGCGGAGGTGGAGCCCCCCGGTGAGTCCTGCACCGACAGGCTGCGGAGGTTGTCGGGCCCGATCGTGTACGGCCGGTTGTGCGGGGTCCGCCGACGCACCGCCAGCAGGTGCTCTCGGGCGCTGCCGTTGGCCGACGACGAGGACGAAGAGGAGGAGGAGGCGGTGGCAGCCATCGCCATGGTTGCCGGAGAGGAGGAGGAGGCGGAGAAGGGAGGAGGCAGATAGCGAGGGGGAGAGGAGGGGAGCTGGGGGTGGTGATGGTGGTGCTGGTGGTGGTGGTGGGAGTTGGGTTGAGGGTGAGGGTGGTGATGGTGATGATGATGGTGGTGGTGGGGAGAGGAAGGGGCAGAGGAGGTGGAGGGGGAGTGGGAGGGGGAGGATGACTGGGGGCGGGGGCGAGGGGGGAGGACAGCCGTTGCGAGGGAGGGGCGAATGGTGGAGGCCAGGTGGGAGGACCAAAGGAAGAAATCAAAGAGGGAAGGGGAAGGAAGTCAGGGAAAAGGAAAGGAAGGAGGAGACGCCTGGGCCCTTTAACTTAAAAGCGCCACCACGAGACCAAACTGAAGCAGCAGTGAATGGCCCTGCTGGTGTTCCCTTGGGCAAGGCACTTCAGGGGGTCCCGCTAGTCGTTCAAGGTGTTACGAGGCGGTCTGGAATAGCTGAATCATCTCTTTTTCTCTCTCTTAGATCAGTCACATATATCACGTTTACACTGTGAACGTCGATGCTGTTGATTTATCCCTCTTAACACCCTCGGACCGGCCATATTGACAAACGTGTCAACAGCAGAGCAATGCCTTGCTCGAGGGCACTACAGTACTTTATAAATCATTCAAGTAGCCATTATGACAAAGGAAAGAGATGGAGGTGGAAGATGGGCAGAGAGAGACAAGGAATCAGGGCTGAAAGGCAATCCGGGAATCCTTCCGTTGGTCTGTCCGGGGAGGAGGGGGTGATGACGGGGCGTTCCTATGATCCACAGGGAGGAGAGGGGTGAAGGGAGGTTGGAGACCTATAGGAGAGAGAGACAGATAGAGGAAGTAAAAAAGGTGGTGGGGGAAAGGAGGACAAGAAGAGGGATGATGGTCAGTATCTTCTGTGTGCAGCAGGGTAAATTGTCACTTTTACTCTGATAATATCAAATAATATCAAATAAAAAAAATAAAACGTTTATGGAGGAGATACAGCATTTTATACCACCTACAATGACTTTACAGCACAAATATAAGCCTTGATGTGAGCAACACGATGAGTGTGTAAAGATGTCTCCACCTGCGTCTACCTCAGAGGTTAAAAGGTTCAATTCCACTTCCTGAACAGGCAGAAATAAAACCATATCCTGTTGACCTATTAAAACACACGCACTCTCTCTCCTGTTCATTTTTCTCTCTTCTTCATCTCCTTTCTTTCAGTTTCTCCACCGCTCGCTCTCTCGCACACACAGACTTTGGTTGCCGTGGTGACAGGTGATTACGCCAAACCATGTCTCAGCTTCCGCACCAGTCACGTCAGACCTCCTTCCTGTCCTTCCCTCCATCCTTCTCGCCATTATAACACTTAATGGATGTGCACGCACACACAGGCATACCATACCCCTCGTGTAATGCTTCTAAATTAGCTGTGCAATGTGCTGCTGATAGAGAGCGAGAGGGAGAGAGAGAGAGTAGGGGAAATAACTGAAGAGGAGAAAGAAAAATAGACTATGGGCTATATTAGATTTTAAAAGCCAAAATGTAAACAAGTCAAACAGAAATAAAAGGAAATATAATACACATTGGGATTTGTGCTATATGTACTTATACGTACATATATGAACATACACTGTGTCATAATTCAATAAAAATAGTTATATTGCCTTTCTTCTTTAATAACACAAACAGCATATACAAATCACAATGTGTATTTTATTTCCCTTTAATTCTGGGTTTGAATCAGGAATTTCTGACAGCAAACATCTCCCACTGTGACTGAACTAAAGTGTCAGTGGCAGTTATGTCTAAATCCAATTTTAACATGAATACAATGGATACAAATGTGTAACACGCCAGGAGTAAAGTAAATCAGGAAATCAGGGCAACATTAGTGTTTGAAACTGTGGCGGCCAGTCAGCCACAGTTTAATTCAGTGTCAGCAAGTCCTAAAACCAATAAAACAATCAAGACCTCAGTATTCTGACCCAAAGCTGATTAACCTCGGCACAACAGAGGCACTGACCACATTCAGGAAGCCTCGGAGACAGTTTATTGCCTATGGCCTCATAACTGTTCTGCTCCAGCACCTCAATACGGCGCTGGCTTAATGACTTGTCTGATACTCTATTTGGAGAGAATCCGATTTGTAGAGACGTTTGATGACATTAAAAAGATCTGATCTACCTTCATTGCCTTTCTGGACGAAGGCCACACCAAACCTGACTCCATTCATCTCATTTACTCTAAACGTATTCCCCTTTCCTCCTTTCTATATTTTTATATCTCATTCTTATTTTGATGTATCATCTTTATATTTTATTTTTTCTACTCTATTCTTCTTGTGCGATGTTCTGTCTGGTTAATGTTACAGAAAAGGCTGTTTCCTGTATTTCTATCAATAATGGTAGCTCTTTTTTAGCCATTCTTTAAGTAATATATAAATTAATTGATGAATTTCAAGTTGCCAATGATTAGGAGTCCAGTTTCTGACCACCTAATGAATATTGTGTCTGTGTGCTGTTTGCTGGTGAAGAAGTGCTTCTGAATAAAACTATACAATCAAAATAATTTCTATCATAATGGGACCGAACTGAAAACAGTGGCTGGCCTTCAGATTCACCAGCAGGCTTTAAAAAAGTAATTTCACCTGGTCAATAGACAGACAAATACAATATGTATATTTTTTTTCTTTTCAGAAGTCTGTGTAGAAATCCATTTAAAGGAAACTGACACGGACAGTGTGGGAGTCACTTTGAGTTACAAAGCAAATGTTTGTCTCTGTTTCAGCAACATTTTCCACGTGGACCTTGCTTCTAAAATACTGCTGTTAGTCAAAAGCTGCATTTGAACATCCGCATTTTGTTCATGGCGAGGATAATGAGAGCAAATCCTGTCCACACATGTCTGTCACAACAGTTCCAGACTGATGTTCCTTTTCCCACGGAGAATATACAACACTATGGAAACTCTTCTTCACAGGACCTGGAACAGACTATAAAACAAACACTACAGGAAATAGTCTTGATGAGGCATTACTGATAACCGGTGTAGGTACAGAAATACATATACACATACAATTACTAACAATTTACGCATGAATGTTGCTCATTTTCAGAGTAAAAGTTGCACAAGCCCTTCCTGTCAGTACCATTATAGTGACATCCAACAATTAGAAGAAAAGTTGCAGTTTCCTTATTTTTTTCAAATAATTCCATAGTTTTAAAGAATATCCTCTGAATTCATTATTACCCACAATGATGTGAGAGATACCAAAATGAAACACTTCATAAACTAGGCTCTCTCTCACTCTCACTCTCTCTCACTCTCACTCTCTCTCTCTCTCTCTCTCTCTCTCTCACACACACACACACACGCCCACACATCTGGACAGAGTTTTATAAATAGTTCTGGGCAGGGGCCAGTGCCAAGCACGGTGCTGATAACAGAGTGTAAAGCCACTTGTGTCCAAATAGCCGCCCCACACACACACACACACACACACACACACACACACACACACACACACACACACACACACACACACACACACACACACACATATACACATATACACTGCTGCCTCTTGTCTTTATAAAACTAATCAGAAACGTACACACATACAATGCACGTGAGGCTCTTGGGAGGTAAGTGTCCTTGATCCAGCGGCGGGATTAAAACAGAGAATGGGGGATTTACTGTTGACAGAATGCGTTCCCTAATCCGCTGCATTACCACACGGCTTCAATCTGCAGCTGGAGCTCCGGCTGCCTCTGCAGCTACGTGTCCATCCAGCTGTCCATCACATTTAAACTCGACGGATTGCTGGGTGAATAACATGGAAATTAGGTGAAACTCAAATCTCAATGCAAAATATATATTAAAAAAACACATGAATCCAACTTTTGTCGGAGTTGGGCCACTACATGCCTCCGGAACAGCTTTAGTGCACTTCAGATTCTACAAGTCTGACACTTTTGTCTACAAACAACTTAGAACTAGAAGCCATTGGCTAAAATATGTTACAGTAATGAAAAATATGAAAGGACTTTACTGCAAGGTAAGTTTGTGAAATCTGTCACTGCAGTGAGATCATTTATTTCTCTCTAACTGCCCACTCCAATCTAAGTTACATTGACATTCAAGGTCACACATAAAGGCAGAGCTATTAATACCTGACCTCTACGAAAACCTCCCCCATATCTCCTCTCCACCCCTAACATGACCCCCTCTCCTCCACACTCCTCCCTCTGATCCCCGTCTCACATAACTCACAGAGACGACCTTTGACCTCAGTCAGTCTGGGCCTTACAGCCGTGAATTCCACATTAGGCATGCACATAAAACTGTGCACTGCTCACACCAACTGCAACCTAAAGCTCAACCGATCGGTTCACACGCTCTCTCAAAGTTGGGAACACACGAGTCCATGTGACCTGACATCCACCCTAGATATCAAATCTACAGATAAAGCAAGAATTTGTCTGTTAAAGGTAACCTGAAAATGTTTCTGAACCATGCGTAGAACTCATATAATTAGTATAAACTATTCCCAATGCAAACAAACAGCAAGGCAAGGGCCTGATCTGTCTCTATTTGATTTCTGTTTCTCCAAGTCTTCCCAAAATTGCTCCCAAATTACTCCCAACTCCTACACTGTGGTTTGGAGATTGTGGTCACCTCACCAAACCGATGCCTGCTTCTGCATTTTTTTTCCTCCCCACGGTTTTCATTGGCCTGCATAGTGCTTGTGCTCTCAGTCTGAACAGCTCAACTGGTTGACATGGGCGCCAAAAAGATGCGAGTTTTGGGTCAATTTGTGGCTTATTGGATACAAAAATGCAGATGAAAAGTTTGGACATAAATTGTAAGCCTACTTGGTAGTGAATAATGACAAAGTAGATTAGCCAATGTAATGCATACTTAAGTAAGAGTAAAATTACAGGCTTGAAATAAGTACAAGTATCCAAAAAATGGCTTAACTACTATAATGTGAGTAGTTGCAATTAGTGACTTCCAACCCTGTTTAACATTTGGGTAAACCTGTGCTGCTGGTAATTTTAATCATATCATGAAATATGTTATTAAGTAAAAATTGTTTAATATTAATACCACTTTATTTTAAAACTTCCATTTACACATAGAAATAGCACTAAATTGTTGTGCCGGGAATCAATTTGGCCTGTGGTACTGCACTGGACAAACGGATTTCTGTTCCACATATGTGTGACATAATGCAACAGATAAATATTCCTGATGCAATTATGCTGCAGAAGTCTTTAAATGTAATTGAATCACAGATGTTGTATGACGGATGGAAGGTAGGCAGTGTCTGTTTATCAGAGGCCCTCAAACCCATCAAAGGAGCTTTGAATAGCTCCTAATATAATATATCGGCACACTTTTTCACTATTTAACCACAGAGCCGTGAAAATCTGCAATCTGAGGAAAACGAACACAGCATGAGATTCCACACTTGTCTTCTAGTTTACGTCAATTTCCCAACCCCCCTTCTGAAGAATGTCATGTTGTATTTCCGCCTCAGCAGACTGCACCTCGGTACAGCGGGAGGAGGTGGTTGGTGGGAAGGGGGCATTGGCGCCGTGCTATCAGCACACACACACACACACACACACACAGGTAAAGTTGCATACCCATGCACTCCGTGACACAAATACTTTCTCACACACACACACACACACACACACACACACAGATAGAGGAGACAGAGAGTGGATTGATGGAGTGTGTAGACTGTATCACAGAGCTGACTCATCACTGCCCTACTGCCCCACGCCTCTAAGACTAAGTGTGTGTGTGTGTGTGTGTGTGTGTGTGTGTGTGTGTGTGTGTGTGGTTTTGATTTAAGTGTGTGAGATTGTAAGCTATAATGTTGTAGGTGAGCTGCTGCAGTGGCGGGGTTACCCCATCAGCTTAAAAAGGTACACTCCCTGATGTTGTTATCTTATCAGACAATAGGCCCAACCTGGAACAATAAATGAACTGATACATCACCTGATAATTCATTAATAGTTTAGACTATCCCCATATAAAGCTGTTAAGGCTATCACGTTAGCAAACAATTGGCTATTTATGCATTCAGCATGTATGGTATTGAGCAGGTAATGAACAGGGGGTTTCTCAGAGCTGTTTAGGTGAAAAACAGCTGCCTGGAAATGACGCAGATGAGAGCGATACAACTGAACCTAAGCAGGAAATTTACGAGCCATACAACAAAGAGACTGAGCTACAAGATGCTGAAGAACTCCCTAGAGTTTCACTTTCAAATTGCAGATCGGAATCTGATCTATTGTTAATATAAAAAATACTGATTGGAGCAAATGCATAAGCAAATTTTAACACTAAGGAATCGTGTAACTTTAACTTTACAAGATGTGTCAGTCAGCCAAAATGTTCTATTTAAATGAATGAGTATGGTGATTTGGGAAACCACTGCTACCCAGCCCACTTTTATGCATACTAGGAAGTATACTGTATTCTTTGCAGGTACACAAAGAAACAGTTTAGATGCCTTATACAAGTAAATTGTATATGGCACTGTTGTCTTCTCTTTGAAAATAAAAAGTCAATAAAAGAAGTCAAAACGTACTATTTTTTATCTAACAAAAATGATGTTTTGCCATTAAAAATGCTTTTTAATTATCTATGAACAATCTCTCATTCTGCCAGCTTGTCCAGCCGGGCCTGCGTACCTGAAGTGTTTGAGCGTACTGTGTGCGATACAGTAAGTGCAATCTTTCCTCCAGCAGCAGCCTCAAGTCTGCAGGTTATTTATAAATGGTGAGACTTTGTGACTAAATATACACACATACACACACACACACACACACACACACACACACACACACACACACAACCCCATGAAAACAGACCCAGGCACTGACATCAATACACTGTCAGCCAGGGATGGTGGTGCTACACACACAGGCTGTTTGCACTGGAAGTAACGCACATACGCCCAAAACCTGTGTTTGATTTGGTACTACTTTCATCCTACGCTGAGACAAAGGAACGAACGGTAGAAGAGCGTGCACAAGTGTTTCCTATAAAAACTAAATGTTTGTGGGCACGACAGGAGGAGCATTTTCATCACTCTGAGTCCGAAAGTCTCCACTGAAATCGAAATACGGCTGATATTGGGTGGGAGCAGTGCTTGTGCAGAAAAAAGCCGACGTTACTGAATTATGCAAGTGTCAGAGCTTAAAAGCTGCACTAGGCGAGATTTAGATGTAAAGAAGAAAATTATATCAGCCTACTTAAATCACAAAGTGGAGCTACACTGACGGCTGACCCAGTCCCTGAAGAGAAATTCGTCCTATTTGCTTAAATAATGTTGTGGTGTTGGGATGGTACACTTCTCTGCCCGCAGGGAGAGACACAGACAGACGGTTAACTTCCCTGGTAGGGTGTTTGTTCGATCTGGACGACAAATTTGCTCATAAAAACTCTGGTATTGGTTTGTATAAAAGCAGACTTCTGAGATAGGACCACAATGACACACAAATTTCACACACACACACACACACACACACACACACACACACACACAGTCCTGAAATAGCTGTAGCGTGATTGGAGAACAATGAGGCGGTCCCGTCAGAGGCGACAGCTTCCTGTCCCCAACACACCCATCACATTCCTCTATGCCAGTTTGTGTGTGTTTTTGTTTCAGTGCATTCTTGTATTTCTAACCTTACGCAGGCCAACATGACAGACAGGACAGTGCTCCACTTACAGCTACTGGTCAGGGGCTGAGGCAAAGACTGGGGGTATGTTTAGGTACAAATCATATACTAGATACACATAAGTTAATGCAGGATGCATCATGGATTCCTGTTGCTCACCACTAACAAATGATCAATTCACTATAACTTTCTGTGACGAGTTCACACTTAATATATCATCAGTTAAGGAATTCACAGTTGCTTCAAACATTAATTGACATGCTGATGGATTCCTCTTGCATTTCCTCCGCCTGAAAAATAGCTTCACATTTGTATGAGAATAAACCCAGCGGTATTTTTGACACATATACATCACAGTGGGCGGAACATATGGTTTTATCTTTTACTGGGTTTGTGGCGCTGAAAAGGAGTGGAGCTAAACCGTGTCTTATCGTTCTTCTCTCATTTGCCCATTAGTTGACGCGCTGAGCAGCCATCTTGGATTTTAAAGGTTGGTGTTCGGGAGGTTTTGCCAACTTTCCAGCCTGGAAATCCAAATTCAGGGGGCGTTCCAGTTGAATTGGAAATCTAGTTCAAATGCAATCCGTCAATAGATTACTGGGTTGCATTATGGGAAACGTAGGAGTGTCACCCAGATTAAAAGTCAGGATATCTCTCCCTTTGCTGCTTCAGTTTTGACCATTCTTTTTTTAAAATGTGTCTCTTCTGAGTCCCCAAACTTTATGGAAATGCAATGCCAAATCACTTAAGCGCCACTTTATATTTTGACTTGTCACTTCCTGTGTTTAGAACAAAATCAATGCCTGACATTAAGATCTCATGGGGGTTACGGGAATGAATCTACAGTCTTGTATCAGGGATGGATCCTGTGTTTTGTAGCCACACTTTTAAGTACTGAAGGTTATTTTCCACAAGAACTGGCTATTGCAGCTTTAACATCAACCACATACCGACACACTGAACTGCGTGACAAAGTTTCATATGGGGGGGATTTGGTTGCTTACACAACACGGTTGCAAGTGTTATCCAAGAGCAAATTTGGAAAAAAAAGGTCTTTTCGGATGTAGATCAGGGAGTTTAATTTGAGGAAAAGCACAAGGCAGGATGCACTGATAATGAAAGTGGTCTCAAATATCGGGTCAATAGGCCTTGTAGTCAAAAATAGGCCTAATACACTTGAGAATCTCCCCTGTATTGTAGTGCAATGCAGAGTGGAGGAGGATTATATAGATCATACGCTGGAGTACACATCCAAACTAAAATGTTACTTTGTTCCGCAGAGACGAAGCTTCAGACTGGTTGTTTTTAGTGATAAACACACATCTGCAAGAAAAACCACATCCTCGTCGAAGGCCACAGATCTCAGACAAAACACAATGAAGAGCTCACCAACGACCTGCCAATCAATTTCCTGCCAAATTTAACCTCAGCCTACACTGTAGTTTATTATACACAGATTACAATCATGGTCAGATGAAGCTATTAGGGAGGAAATAGGAGATGAGCTGTCCTGTTATTCTGGAATTGATCTGATTGTGTGAGCACACCACAGCTCTGATCTGATTTACACACATTCTCCAACAGTGTGTGTGTGAGTAGGCTGACTTTCCCCTTTTTTGCCTAAAGCCTCTTTGACAGCAAGCAACACATGATGCTGCCCAGGACAGAGATTTTATTTTGGCGTTGTTGTTGTTGGCCTTTATTTGTCACTGTTGCTGCAAGTGGAGCCCATCAAAGCATGACTTCATCAGCTCACAATAGCAGCCCAGTCGGAGGCAGAGCAGCAGACAGATTGATGAGTGAAGAAAAATATGTGATGAAATCCATTTGCGCTTGGAGAAAACGTCAATTAAAGGCTTGATGGTGACACATCAGGTTGCCAGATCCACATCAAAGCAACCTGCTGGTGCAGAAAAAGAAATCTGTCTATTATTACACATACATGTGATAACACCTCGCTTACCTTTTGCTACGGCGATAGAAACGTCGTTTACAAGCCCTTCTGCATGCCAAAGTCGCTTAATCATGGACGACGGACCTCCATACGGCCCGGCCACCACCGACACTTCATCGGCTTCCAAGCGGGATCCGGCGCTCCAGAGCCCGGGCGCAGCGCCGCCGCGTCTCGCTACTCCCAAACCTCCGCTCAAGGCGAAACCTCCCTTTAGAAATGTTTTTTTATTATTATTATTATTCCCGTGTCTGAATCATGGTTGCCACCTCTTTCTCTCCGCAGCGTCGTTGACCTCCCCGGGATGTTGCCAGGCTGGGTAGAAAAGACGCGTTCATATCTTATTTATTTGGCTGGACCGCTTCACATCCGCCGCCCCGTTTCCGCCGCTTCACGCACTTTATTCCCGGTTTGATGCCGCTCTTCCATACCGGAGAGAAATAAAACCGACCGCATTCTGCTTATAACAACATATTTACGGTATAAGTGCTGGTTAGCAACTTTGTTTTTAAAGCCAGGCCTTGTTTTGAGAGTCCATACTGTCTGAGCTCAGCAGCAAAATAACTGATTTAACACCTCCCACCAGCGGCCACCCCCTCTTTGTGGATAACGGGCGCCCAACATGGGGTTCGGGGACCTTCAAGGGTCCGCCAAAGGAGGTTCCTTATCTGTTTATGTACCAGAAGTGAATTCAATTAAAGACCATACGAGGATTACTATTTTAATCACACTTTTGATATGTAGGCAGTGATGCAGTTTAAAGAGGGCAACCCAGGATCAAATCTCATCCAAGGGCGGGGTGGGGGGTGCTTGAGATGTCCTGACCAATAGAGGGGGTTTATGGGGGGGGGGGCGACCCAGGGCCCACACTCAAAAAGGGGCCCCACGCTTAGAAAGGGAGGGTGAAGTGAGTGAGCTGCAATCTACAACCACACCACTAGATGCCACTAAATCCTACTTAAGGAGCCCATAAGATCACACCTACTTATTTTTATTCTATTTTTTTTACAATAAATGTTTTCCTGTTTTTACTGGTATTTTGTAAGCAAGAAAATATGAAAAAAGTAGGATTTAATATAATCTAATGGGCTGTGCACCTGCCGTTTCATAACATGAGCAGGTTATGTAAGTTGCTGCTTTTTTCTGACTTAGATTTATTATGCATTTTTAATTAGTGCTGGCAGGATTGGTGGTACAGTCTACAGGAGATAAGCTACTGCAAAAATTGAAAGAAAACAAAGATTTGGTGCACAGACGTTAAGTCAGATAAACTTTTTTTTCTCATCATAAATTCTTCAAAGTCATTGGCAGGTTTACCAGAATGAAACATCCAGAATTGGAGAACTTGTATCGGCTGTTGTTTGGAGTTAAATTAATTCATTATTATTCATTATCCTTGAATTGAACTAGGCGTCATTGAGAAACACATAGAGTTAGGTAGATTAAAAAGAATTGTGAACTAGTGCTCTGATTCTTTGTTTTGGAAGTTTCTATGTTGTTTCTATGAACAATATTACTGATTATATTATTCAGTGACTGGGTAAAAGGTCCCACAAAACGAGGCTCTGCCCCCCTCTCCCGCCCCTGGCCTAGATGGAGTGCAGTGACCCGGGAAGGAAACATGATAGATGCAGAAGGTTGGGTTAGGAGAGAGGGAGGGCCCTGGCGAATAATCCCACCGCCTTAATCCCTGCAACAACAAAAGGAAAAGTCTGTCCGTCCATATTTTTGTCACATAACTGTAAACAAAATCCCACCAGAGTACAAAGCAGCATCACACTCACCTTTATGATTTAAAAATATATAAACAGACTGAAACTGTATCATCAAAAAATAGAAGTCTTTACAAAATGGGTTATAAGAGCATTACTGGTTGAAAATGTTGATTTTTTTTTTACAACAGAACTGTCGAAACATGTACAAATAATACAAACTAAATTGAATCCTACAAAAGAAAATCCAAAATCTGCTGACTTGAAACTGGAGCAAAATTATGTCAGAAAAACAGATAAATTACTACTTCAAAGTTAAAGTGATGTAGGTCTATTTGTTGATGTGATAATAAAAAGAATGTCTACATTCATTTAGCTCCAGTGCCCCCACAGCTGGAAAAGTATAAATACTACTAAAACATAGTAAATCACACTGTCGTATATATACATCGCATATATTTACATCTCAACTGACATAACATGTATGAATGTACATGTTACGACGAGTTCACAAATAAATACACATAGAAATGCTGAAATAAATAGAGAAATATAAATAAATTAAATAATAAATACATAAATTAAATGTTAAATGAATGATTAAATGCAGAGTAAAATACACAAATACATGTTGGAAATGAATTGTGAAATAATTTATTCAATACATTTCTACGTTAATTTATTTTTTCTGTTATCTCTGTCTGTATCTTAACAAAGTGTGGTGATACTAACCTCGCTGTAAAACACGATTGGTCAGCCGGAAAAACCAGGGTTGAGTTATCTGATCAAGCTAACAATAAGTAGCATGCGAACCAGTCAGCTCGGCTTTGTACACCACAAGTTGAAAGTAATTCTACTTAAACTATCCTGTGACCAACTGTGCTTTATAGTGCAGTTGAAGTACCATTTACCTCATTAGCCTACATAAATCAATAAATATAGGGGAGTAGAAATACATAAAGAAATGTAATTTCTTGAAATACAGGATAAATGTAATAAAGTAGAAATTCAAATTTTTGCTAATTAATTACCAACATTAACGCATTATTCCCTTCTGCATTTACTTATTTTTGCATTCATTTCAGGTTTTATTTGTTAATGAAAATATTTATTTATTTATTTCAGCATTTATTTATGTATGAATTTGTCATTTTTTGTCCTCCATATTTCTACAAGGCACTTGCAGTCACTTAAACTAAGTCTCACAATCAACAACCCTGGCACAGATGATGAGGCCTTTGTGTGCACTTTCAAATGATGCAGTGTGTGTCGATGAGCTGCCGGGCCATCTCCATGTTCCCACTGGCCTGGTAGATGAGGGAGAGGTTGAAGGCGATCTCCCTCCTCAGATCCACATGATCATCTGGGATACCCTGCAGGGAGGAGTGGTGAAAGGATGGAGAGAGGGACAGACAAAAAGAGGAAAAGATCTTTTAAGGCTGCCTTATTGAGGTCCATTCATCGGTGTCCTAAATAAAAGTGAGATGTTTCTAAATTTAACGTCACTATGATGCAGCAGGCTGAGCGCTCAAACACTGTAGTGCGGTTCGATAACACGAAGAAACCAACGGCTGTTGCATGTATACGCACCTCCAGTTTCTGTGCAGGCAGTGTAAGCGCCTTCTGGTAGTAATGTATAGCCAAATGTGTGAGGCCCATCTGGTGCAGCGCTCTGCCCAGGTTGTACATGGTCTCCTGACACACTCCACGCAGCTCCACGTACCGCCACAGGAAGGAGAAACCCTGAAAACACACGTACTGTATATTCAAGAAGAACAGACGAGGGGAGGAAACTGTGAAGCTAAAACAAGGTGTATGATACACAAACACTGTACCTGCAGCACCAGCGTATGTCGTTTGGCTACATACTTCTGACCTGCCATGTGGAAGAAGGTGAGACCCACACACAGGCTGTGGAGTGGGTTGTTGGGGTGAGTCTGGAAGGCCTGAACATACTGACCTAAAGACACACAACGGTTTGAAAATGTGTTAGATTATTACTGATGGAAACTGATGGACAAATATTTTCTCACCTCAAACTGTAAAAAAAAAAATTAAAAAAATAAGAGTGGATTGAAGGAATTTTATGGACAGGAGAAATTTACTTGATTACAGTTTTCTACAAAGAGTTTTTAACTGGTTATGAAAAACAGTCTTAATTTAATACTGATGCCTCCATATGACCTACATAAGCACACAAGACCATCATCGAGAAGATTGGCTATTTCTATACAGTTATTCTTAATGTCTGCCACCGGGTCGGATTCAGCCGGATTCTCCTTGAACGAGGAGGTGGAAACACTACCGCTTTTGTCCATGGGGGCCGCCAAACTCAACCAAAAATGAAAGTTTTGTCTAAGTACTTTTTTTGCAACATAATACAGCTGCAAGCTGGATCAGGTAATATCAAGCTGTTGTCAGGGCAACAAGTAGACAAAGAGCAGACCTGAACATTATAAGGATGCTGCAAAACAGCTCTTTTCAAAGCAGTTCACTACTTTATTAGCTAAGATATGCAGGACGAGCGGTGAGGTCAGTAGTGGTCTGTGTATGTTTTGTACCCAGAGCATGTTTGAAGCTTCCCGACACCATGGCGTTGTGTCCGCAGAGGACACACAAGGCGTGGTTGTCAGGGTGTTTTAACAGCAGACGCAGACAGAAGCGATGGTGGCGCTGGTGCTGGGAGGTTATCGTGAGCTAAGGGGAAGAAAACGAACATCTCAGACGCTTATTTACATCCATAAACCAATCAATCCATAAAGCTTTATTTAAGCTTTATGTAAAGATAGAGACAGAGATACAAGATACAAAGAGACAGAAGCACACCTGGTTGAAAATATTCCAAAGCTGAGGCAGATGCACATTTTCCATCAGCATCAATCTGTTGAGAAGAGGAAAAACAAACAGAAGACAATTTATACTTCACAAAAAAACCCCCGAAGAAGCCATACAAGATAACAACTTCTTGTTCCTCTACCTGATGTAGTTGTAGGCCTTGTAGTGGTTGTGGTCCAGGATGGTGGCGGACAGGCCGAAGAACTCCAGCTCCTTCCTCCTGGGCTTGTTGTCGTAGAAGGAGTAGAACTCCATGGCGGACTCCACCAGCAGCTCGGCCTCCTCATAGCGCTTCACCTCACACAGAGTCCGGACGCAGCTCACCAGCAGCTGCCACCAGTCCTCTTTGGACAGCACGTTGGTTTTACCTGGACAAGGACCACATTGTGCCATCAGTTACAGCAACAGTTTCCAAAACCTCATGTTGACTTACACATGACCCCAATCAGTACCACACGGAGGGTTTACAGGGTCTGTATCTGTTTCTGTACCATTATCGGAGGAATAAAAGTCTAGTTGGTACATTATAATTGTTTTTTTGTCAGTTACCTTATCTCTGCACTGACTCCAGTGCTCATAGGAAACAAAACATTAGACACCTTTAAGCTCTTTCAAATGCAAGAACTGACCAGATTCACATCATCCTTTACATCATGTTTATGTCTGTTTATTGTTTGTCTTCCAGGTTTAACTTCATGACGGCATGGCTTTTAAACGCAGACTCTAAAATCTCCACTGCAGTTTGATTTCATGCTGTAGCAACATTACGAGCCTGGAAGGCAGGAAGTCAATGTGAAAACATGTGGTACGCTTTAGAAAAGTGTCAACAATAATGTAAAGTATAGCTTACACTACTTGTAGTTATTGAGCTAAAACATACAAAGCTTCAAACACGGCCCTTTAAGAGGGCAATAAACAGCCTTTTCTCCACATATGGCAACTGTTATTAAGTGCTGACGGTGAACAATATCCGGCCAACTGCTCTGCTCTGCTCCTGCCAACTACAGGCTCTGTACATCAGCCAGGCAACCAGGTATGAAGACCTAAAGCAAACAACCAACACACACACACACACACACACACACACACATATATAGATTTCCATACCAGTGTTGTCCAGATAGGCAGCTTCATGGTCAGCAATTTCTGGCAGCATGTCTGTGCCCTTCACCAGCCTGAGGTGATTCTCGCCTGACATGGTTACAGAGCGCACACACACCTTAGCTCGCTGCATGGCCACCTAGGACACACATACACACACACACATTATTTGAGTCATTTGTCGACACAGGGAGACGATGAAAATGCAAATGGGCTTCTCTCTACAATCTATCTGTTCACATGTCTCCACATTAGCTTTAACCACAATCTCAAAACCATGTGGGTGTGTTTATGTGTGTGTGTTACCTTCAGTAGCATGGAGATCATAGTGATCATAGCATCCAGGTAGTCCTGTGTTTGTCCCTGAGTCTTCAGAAGTGTGGAACGGTGCAGCAGCAGCTTTAATTCCTACAACCACAGCATATGGAGCGATATGAGCACACACAAACACATACAGTGGACTTGTTTTTAATTCAAGGTTAACATACGCAAGCCCATTCTCACCGGGAAAATAAAATGTCTGTGTAGGTTATGCATCATAAAAATAACAATACTGATATTAAGTCAAGATTATAAAATACGTAGTGAAAAGTATGACAAACCAAGTCCAAATTCTGACATAATATATTAAGTTAATAAGTCAATTTAAGTCAGAATTTGGGGTTTACTACATTTTAATTATTGTCTCTCTATAATTTGGGTTTATTCTTATCTTTATCATGGCCTTGTTTATATTCTTTCTTTTCTTGCTGGAAATGGGCTTCCATACTGTAAGAACGTCTGTAAGTGTGATTGTTGAGCAAAAGAAGCTAGAAAAAGTGGTATATTCCTGGAAAGTGAGAGACAAATAAAAAAAACTGTAAAACTGATAAAGAATCTAGTTAACCCACACAAAAACACACATGCTCTTGCCTTCTGTGCGGCTGACGAGTCCTGTGCCAGTGTTTCGCTGTCGTACATGGACTCCAGGGCCTTGAGGGCGCGATCTGGCCGGCCAAGCTGCTGCTGCAGGGTGGCCAAGGAGAGCCGGGCCTCCAGGTGCTGCGGAGCCATCTCCACCACCTTAGTGTAGCTTTCTGCTGCCACCTCCATGTGGCCCAGCGCCTTCAGACACTCTGCGAGGGAGAATGAAGGCGTTTTATATAACAGTGGTTTTCATTTTCTCTAATCGGAGCCAAATTGAGGGGTCATTTCAAATCCTGTCTTGCACCTTAGCTGCAAAGTTTCACACAGTGGAGTTTTTTTTGGATGCTTGCTACTGCTGATTCGCCTCACATCCAACTAATAGGATATTCCAGTTTCAACTCTCAAATCTGACTGAGCAGGATTATGTCTGAATGTGTTTGAACTATCTAGCTGGAGCTTTTAAAGTCTAACTGAAATTAAAATTCAAGAAATAAGTATATACACTACACCTAGTTTTCCAGTTTATTCCTATTATTAGTGTTTCTGAAATAAATCCAACCTTCAAGAAGGTTATAATGTTCAGCTTTTGTTGAGATGTTCTGAGAGAGATGTTGATTCAACTGTATGGGCATTTTGAAGGCTGTTTCGGTTATTTAGTCTACCCTCAAGGATATAAATGGGGTGGGCAAAATATTAGAAGCTAAGCTAAGCATCTTCCACTATTTGATTGGAATACAAACTACAAATTTAAACTGCTGAAGGCTGATAAACAACGCGATGTGGGCTTGTTGAAAGTAGGCAGAAAACGTCTTGTATTAATGTATGCTGTCCCCTAGCAACAGCGGCTTTCAAATGTCAGTCAACGGGAAACAAGGCTTGGAGCTTAGACGCAACGTGTCCAAAAATAGTTTTATCCTCTTAATGAAATGGAAAAATATGCACAACAGCTGTAGTATTATTATAGTTTAAATAAAGCACTCAGCATGTTTGACTAAATCCTCATTTTAAGATATTTTAACCACTTTTATCGTTCTTCCTGTTGTTCCTACCTGCATGTCGGAGCCAGACGACAGCCAGGTTGAACTTTTCGGATATGACGAGGGCAGACAGCAGTGGCAGAGCGGACATGTACTCGCCCTCCTCCAGGTAGGCTTCCCCTACATCCAGGTACAAGTCACCGATCTCCTCCGGACTCTGCTCCATCAGCGATGACACCAGTCCCTGTGAGTGGGTGGGTAAACATGGAGACAGAAGTTTATTGCCTCCAAAAAGTTAAAAGTCACTGCTGGAAATTAATATTTTTAGCTTAAGTCATATTTTCACTGTTACTATGAAAACCGTGTTTGTCCTGTTTACCTCCAGCGGTGTGTAGTCATGCAGGTGTATGAGGCAGACCATGAGCTTGGCCCTCAGGTCCACTGGGACGCTGTCTGGTACCTGTACATCCTTAATTACCCCTGGACACACACACACACACACACACACACACACACACACACACACACACACACACACACACACACACACACACACACACTCAATCAGCGTTACTATGTTCTAAAAATAACAGGTATCATTACAGTTTCTTTGGTGGTGGAGAGGAGTGTGGGAGTAATGAAAAAATTCACAGCGAAGGTGTGAAGATTGTTAGAAAGCTACATTTCAATAACACAACAAATCACTGGACCTTTGACAATCACATGACTACAGTTTTTCATTCCCTTCACTTAGGTTGAAGGATGGTTTTCTAACTAAATATGTTTTTGCCATTTAGCAGCTGATATATGATATTGATGACATGGTTAACGGTTCTCTCTCGGTTCTTCATCTGTTGTTTCCCAGTGTGTGAGACTATATCCTTTCCTAGCCAGTTGAAAGAAACATACCTCAAAGTAAAAAAAAAAAAAAAAAAGGCTAGTTCTTAAAAAGTTGACATTTTGGAACAAATATGATTCACTGAACTTATGCAATCCACACTGAAGTACAGGAAAGGGATGTACCTCCCGCCAGTGTGAGCTCTTGAATAGAAGAACACAAAAAGATTGTTCTCATGGAGAATAATAATCACTGTTCCGCACTCTGTATTTGACTGGGTTAATTGGTGCCAACACATTACAAGACAGTTAGACAACGCAGCATAGACATACTGGCTGTCTTCTGTTCAAAATGTCAACTTGTCCTCCCAGGGTTAAGCTTTCGAAAGGAATTCTTTTCTGTTACCTAATGAATGAGCAGCACTGTTTTAGTGTCAGTGCTTTCAAAGACAAATGTCTCCTGGGTTTAATAAAGACAGTCGCTTCTAAAACATCCCTCATGGCAATATAAATGTCAAATTTATTATACCTCAGAGTATTTTCAGCCCCTCTGTGTTTGTCCGTGAGAAAGACGGCCAACGGCAGCAAGCTAGATGCTGTTATTTTAATGTTAGTAACCCGCCGTATATTGGATTCAGTGATCCTGGATAACCGGTATCATAAAGCTCTGTTGGCTGTGAGTCACATGAACATCATTCGAACCATGAGTGGAATACTTAATATGATCAAATAAGTCCAAACAAGAATCGCAATTAAATATTAATAACTCTAACCAAATAATGTTCATACAGTCCTTTACTGTAACAGCAAAAACATTTACTCTGCAAGGGGAAATATACACATATACACATAGAAAATAATTTCCAAATATTGAACGACTAAAGTCTAAATCAGTGTAATTATTAAATATGTGGTAGTATGTATGTTCTTTTTCCTTTTGATAAACAAACTGTTGCAAGTGGCACTAATTCAGTGTTCTGAAGAAAAGAAAGGAAAGGTTACTTTTTATTTACAATTGTATCGCAGAGTCTAAAACAATTTAATACTCAGTTATTCTGAGCTGCAGGGATGGAATGAGTCCGTAAAAGATTTATACACCGAAGGAATCATGTCAGGAGTGAAAGAAACATAAGTGCGATTAAAGTGCAGCTAAAATTGTCATTCATTAGTGTGGTAATTTATTTATTTAACCCTGTTTGTTATATTCTGTTTTAAACCCAGAGTGAACACTTTATTGGCCTAAATTATTCATCACTTCATTGTTAACTCAGGTTGCTAAAGGCTTTGTTCTGATCCTCCCGCGTAACAGGGTAGTTGTTCAGCCTCGGTTACCACGGTGATCCACCCCTGGTAAAAGTGGACCCGCTTCATGATACCAGAAAACTGACGTGGAGCCCAAAGATAGCCGGCTAACCCATTTACCTCACTTTGTGTTACAGGCTGGAGTGCACCGCAGTATAAAAACACTCCCTCATATTTCTGCTTCCGGTGAAACAGGCGGTGGGATTAACAGACAAATATATTTAGACATGTAATAAAACAAAGCACCAACAACATGTGACATCAGTCAAAAACAAAAGACTCACCCTTCTCCTCTTTTGCCGTTTCCTCTACGGTCTTCGACTTTGTACTTTCTTCATTACTCTCCTCCTGCTCCTCAGTCGTCTTCTCTGCCACTTCCTCTTCTGGTGCTGGTTCCTCCAAGTCAGATTTGATTTCATCCCTGACCAAAACTATAGCTGCAAACTGGACCAAGACCTTGGAAAACACACAAAGTATAAGCATTCATTCAGACAAAACACACCTTTTATTTGCTCGGTCTCTGAATGACACAGGAAAGCTGTTAGTCCACTGCACCTGCAGGGCCTTCTCGTACTGGCGGTTGGCGATGAAGAGCTCAGCTGCCATGTTGATGAAGTCATCGCTGACCAGGCTGGGGTGTCGCGCCAGAGCGTCCTCTATAACACCCAGAGCTGAGGGCAAGTCACTGCTCTCATAGTAACTCCTAAACAGGAGACACACACACACACACACACACACACACACACACACACACACACACACACACACACACACACACAGATGTGAGCTCTTATAAGAGATAAACCGACATCAACGTCCTACAGACAGGAAACGCGTTAGGCTCTGTGTGTGTGTGTGTGTGTGTGTGTGTGTGTGTGTGTGTGTGTGTGTGTGTGTCAGTGTGTGTCCCGTACTTGGCCATGTCCTTGGACAGCTGCATGAAGTGCTCTCCGTCCTCCATCGGCAGCAGTGACAGGATCCTGCGGTAGCCGTCCATGCAATGTTTGTGCTCGCCCAGGCGCATGTGGAGGCTGGAGCGCTCCCACAGGTAACGCACGTTGGTGGGGTCGTACTTAATGGCTGAGGAAGCCGGCGACAAGGGGGGAGTGGCGCGCGTTAATACTGACGATAGGGCTGCAACTGACAACTATTATTCATTATGAATCCTTTGCGCTCACCCTTCGTGTAGCAGACGATGGCCTGTCGGATGTTGTCCTGCTCCAGAGACATTTCTGCCAGCCTGATCCACTCCTCGCAGTCGGACGGGTTCAGGTGGGCGGCGATCAAACCAAACTGCAGCGCTTTCTCCCGTTCTTCATCGTCCTCGTAGATCATAGCCAACGTGGAGAACGGTTCGTAGGCCAGAGGAGCTGCGAGAGAAAAGTTTGCTTAGATTCCAGAGCTACAGCTAGCCTTAACTCACACACACACACACACACACACACACACACACACACACACACACACAGGTTGTTTCGTACCTTGTCTTATGATCTCCATACACATCAAGATGGCGTCCTCTTTCTCTCCTCTGGCGTAGCGGATGTTGGCTTCTCCCATCAAGCCCCTCAGAGCGCGGGGCAGCTTGCTCCGATGACGCCGCTCCTGGAGACACACACACACACACACACACACACACACACACACACACACACACACACAGTCATAAGCTCACACATTAAGAGAAAAAAACACACTTACGCACTCTTCCCTCCTCGTCCTCCTCCTCACCTTCATCATCTTCTTGTTTTCTCGGTTCAGCTCCATCTCCAGCGCGAACACGTCTCCAACCGTCGGATCCTCTTCCTCCTCCTCCTCCTCTCTCCTCCTCCTCCTGCGACCCTTCCCTCTCCCTCTCCCTCCTTTCCCCCCTCGCCGCTGGCTCTTCTGTGTCTCCTCCACCTTCACCTTTCCTCCCTCCTCTTCCTCCACCTTGTAATCCTGATCATCTTCGTCATCAACATAGCTCAAGCTGTCCTCCTCTTCCTCCTCCTCATCGTCTGAGGACGGTGGTTCTGGTGTTTCTCCCAGCATGGAGGCGAAGGCCAGCTGCACCCCGGGGCTGACTCCCTCCTCTGAGAGGAGACGAGAGTTGTGTCAGGTGAGCAGCAGCGACTGTGGCAGGTTGTTTCCCTGGGTTTTGCCTCTCAGGCTACATTAGGGCTGCAACTAATGATTACTGACATTATCAACTCATCTGCTAATTAGTTTATTGTTTAATTGATTAATTAAGTTGGTCTACAAAATGTCTATAAACAGTGAAAAATGCCCATCATGTTGTCTCAGAGTGAAGTCAATATTCAATATATATTGTTTGTTTTGTCCCGAGAGTCTGAAAACAGTGATACTCCTACATGAAGTCAATTAACTAATCAATTAATTGTTTCAGTTCTAGGTTACACACAAGGCTGCTCCACAACACTGTGTGTAAATGTGCTGAGTGAATGAAATTTACGGGCAACTTTTACTGAAATGTACGTTATTGGCGGACAGAGCCAGTTATCTACTTTTTTTACTTCGCCACATGTTCAACTATTAAAATTAAAGTGATGATGTGAGAGGGGTCTGTAACAAACACACTAACGTCTCCAACCCCCGCAGACAAAGACTGGTTTAAAACTCCCACCTACAACGCACAAGCCTTTTGCACTATTTATATTTAATTTCCACTTTAGTACTTTCATTGTTTTAGTTTTTTAGTTTTAGTCAAGTTTAATTTGCTGCTTATATTTGGCACTCCATATTCTACTTGAACAATGCATCGTGTATATACTTTAATTTATAGTTTCATATCTTCTAATATTAATAATTTGGTAAAATAGTGATATTTTTATTGTGATATTCTTTCTCTGTTTTTGCCCTATTGCTGCTGTGTCAACCTGAATTTCTCCTACGGGGGATAAATAAAGGAATATCTTATCTTATCTGTAGAACAAGAGAATCCGTGCAGCACTACAGTACTGGAGTTAATGATGGTTTGTCACACATTGCACCTAAAATATATATATATTAAAAAAACCTGCAGCCTCTGTGATTGGGAGGTTGACCACAGTGTGCAGCTCTGGTTAATACACAGATATAACAGCCAGACTATCAAGAAGCAAGGAAGCAGATAAAGTATAACAACATTAGTCATCTATATTCTGATGATCATAACACTGAGTCAGCATGCACAACACATACACACACACACACACACACACACACACTTTTACCCATGGACCCCGGTATCTGTGCAGAGGTAGAGGGCTGAGCATCATCCTCCACATCTTCAGCTAAAGCCTCGGACTCCTGAGAGAGGACAGAGAAGGACTTAATGGGACGTAAACAACAACCGTCGGAGACGTAAACGGTGACGTACCTTGGCTTTCCGTTCATCCCTCCGTTTGTCAAACTCCTCAAACGTGATCCTTCCCTCCAGGTAGTCTATGAGCTCGGCGCTGAAACCGGACATCTCTGTCTGCCACTGTGTGTCCGTGTGTCCGTCCGCAGAGCTACAGGAGAGGCTTCCGACGTCAAAAACGCCACAACAACAACAACAACAACAACAACACCACTATGGACTCACAGGAGACCAACACGTCCTCAGTGTTGAGACTCCTGCACTTCAAAATCAACACACAAGCGCCCAAGCACGCTGAACTGCAGTCACGTGATCTGCAACAACTTCCGGGTTGGCGTCGAAATTGACACAAACTGTTTTCTGGCGACATCTAGTGGTGAAAGACCGGGAAGTACACATAATACATATTTGTTTATTTTGGTGTCTTCATCTCACCTTAAATAATGCATTAATATTAATTCTTCATACAAATTAGTTTTTATTTTTTTTATGATATATTTTTATTTTGTTTTTAAAAGTGGAACAAAGGGAACTGTATCTAAATTTCATTCTCCAACCTTGCGCTGTAAATGACAATAAAATAACCTTGAGTCCTTGAAAACGCCTGAAAAAAACTCCTGAATGAAGATATTTTAACTTAAATACATTATTGCATCACTGTGGCACCGGTAAAGCAAAAGAAACATCTAAAGGTGGCAGTAGAAATAAATAAAGCTGTGTTCCCAAATGGTCTGACATTTTTCCTAATGTATCTATTTCATTGAACTTAACCCCATCACTTACTCTAAAATGTGTCCATAACTAATGTCTGTTCTTAAACACTTTATTTTTAAAATTAATTTAAATTAAAATGTTTAATTTCATAGCATTTGACACCAAATTATAATATAATATAATTCTGTAAAACTCACAGGCTGTATTTTCCTGCATTGAGTGCTTTTATTTTTGATACTTAAAGTACAGTTCACTAATAATATTTGTGTCTGTGTGTATATATATCTGCAATACAGGACTTGTAGATTATTTGTGTAAGAGTAAAGTAACTTTAATGAACAATATGACAGTGCTTTCAGTGCAATCTGCAAGTATTCACATGTATCAGGTCAATTTTCATTTATTTATGGATTTTATTATTGCCATGCAAGTACATGTGTTCCTCATTTTAGCTGCTTTGCACAACATGTTTGGCTTCCTCATTCATTGTGCTTTACCGAAATATCACAAAGTATTTTACTATATGAAAGAGTAGTTCAGGCGTTCATAATTTAAAATTTAATATGACATGTTTGTTTTGTCAGGAACAGGCTGGAGATTTACGTCAAAGCATATCTGCTTTTCCATTTCTCCCAGATCCACAGCAGTGTGGCAACTGTTGCTGTTCATTCAACACACGCATGCTTGACGTATTCTGTATTCTCTTCTTTATCTCCCATGCAAGAAAGAGAGGGAACAGAAGAAGAAGAGAGGGATAGTGGAAAAAGTGGAGGAGGGTGTGGTCTCATCCCGGCAGTTGATGCACCTCCTGCTTCTTTCTCAGTGGATTCTGCACATCAGTGAGATCTGATGCTTCTCCTGCATCAACCTCACATTGTTTCAGCATCCTGGATGGTCTGGACCTCCCAAACTGTGGGATGAGTGCACCTGAAGCCGAGCCCAGGTGAGAGCACATCATGATCCAAACCTGAACTACTTTATCCAACACAAAACAACACTTATGCAGGTCTTGGTGACGTCAGTTTATAAGGCCTTATTATGCTTTGTTTGTTTTTTAGTCATAATCTCTAAGGGAGTGTACAAAAAGTATTCGGCAGGAGGCGGGGTCAGAGAAATGGGAGGATAATGTATTTTTTTTCTTTTTGCTAAAGGGAGAGGAGTCTGATTTTTTGGGGAGGGTCCTGCTCCAGATTTGTATTTTATTTCCCACCAAGAACATTTGTAAAGTTACAAAACAGTCAGATGGAAAACATGCCATGGATGCATTTTGCAATATGCAGGCGACAACAATCCTGTCTCTGTGTCAGGGCTTCATTTTCTAGTTTGTGGATCTTTTTGGTGAGTAGAGATTGATAAATGTCTCTCAAAAGAGGGTGTCAGTTTTTCTTATTAATCTGCATTATAACAAAAAAAAACTAAATGTATCATCTATTAGCCAATGAAAAGTCCACAAAATAGGGAAATGGCCAACACTAGTTCTAAGAGTCCAAGGGGACGTTTTAAAATATCTTATTCTGTCTGATCAACAGTCCTAAACCTAAAGATATTCAAAGTGAAATTACGCGAAACACAGAAAAGCAACATATCATCTCATTTTCTAAGCTTGAACTAGAAAATATTTGCCTTTTTCTATATAAAATGAACGATTAACCCGTTCATTTGCTGCTAATTGATTAATCAAATAATTGTTTTAGCTCTAAACATAATGCATGTTCAGCACAACCCAGCTTGTTCTACTAATGAATGAAATGAAAACCATACAGAGCTGCTGCCTTTTTAATAATAGTCAAACATAGTGTTGAGCCCCCTCCCCACCCTGATCATTAGTTAACAGTCCCAAATCACTTAAGCACAAATGCAAAAATTCAACTTCTGTGTGTTTTTTATTCTGCTGTTTTTTGTTTGTTTTTTATTGCAGGAGTAATAAGATCTCCCGATTTAAAACCAAAGAAGTTCATTTGTTGTTTATTTGTGGAGTCTCTTCAGTTCCCATCATCCAACTGGTTAGATGTGTGCACAGCAACAGGCAGCAGGTTTGAACTATCAGTGAGTGTAAATAGTGAACACTTGGGTCCGTGTTTGTTGTTTTTGTCTCTTATCAGGAACAATTTTCAACGCTCAGTTGGTCAGCACAAAGGCCACAGACTGAGCTTCATAACAACCACTGTTCCTCTCTTCTTCCATATCTCTCCTTCTCTGCAGCTAAATTCAGTCTGTGCTCTTAGTGTGAAAACTAAAAAGGAGCAGAGGACAAATTAAGTGGGTGATTTGCAAACCTCTTCCCCGTGATTTTCTTTGTGTTCTAAAATAAGACGAAACCAAAGTGGAAAGAATACAATGTCTGCTACACAGTCAGTGTTCAGACAGCTTTTAAAATGTCGGGCGTTTAAAAGAACAAGAAACTCTGGAGATTTTGGCTCTTTGAGGGATTAGTCAGAGACTTTCTTCTCTCCACATTCTCACCTTTCTTCCCATCAGAGTTTAAATACTGTGTGCCCTGGCTTCACAGTTTCTCCTGCACATTGGAAGTAGTTGTGCCTGCAATCCCGACTCTGCATCAAATTCAAAGTGACGAAAATGGAAATGTGAAGATAAAACTGTGTCTTCACAGCCACAGAGCAGCACATATTAAATATATGCTGTGGACAATAAAGCAAAAATGAATAAAAACACCAACATTGGCGAGGCAAAAGAGAACTTTTGACAGCATGTTGTGGTTCAGCTGTAGACTGTATGGAAATAAGATATTCAGCATTTTCTAGAAACTAAAAAGTATTTTTCTTTGATTTTACTGTATGTTTATGGTCACTGTTTCTCTCCAAAGCACATTGTCAAATACAGACGCAGGCTTTGTGAAGTTAGTTGCAATCTGAAACCTAACCGCTACATACCACTAAATCCTACATGCTGGTCCTTTAACACATCATTTAGGGCAACCTGGATAGCTCACCTGGTAGAGCTGGCACCCCATGTAGGCTGAATCCCTTGGTGCAGTGTTCCCCAAAAATACTTATTAATGTTAAAATGCTACTTATCAGGCTACACCCATTGATCAAAGTTGTTTATTAGCTTTATTTTGATTACAGTGCATTTAAAACCCAGATGTTGAGTGCAGCCCATGTCAAAATGTGAAAAATAAGCTAAGCCTAAACACTAGGATATTTTTTAAACCTCCTTTATGAAACAGAATTTCGTGAGTTTCCTGAAATAGACCTGGTTTAACAAATCATGCTGTTAAAGTGCATTTTTTTTTGCTTTCTGCAGTTACACTGACCCTAAGTACAGATTTTAGCACAGTGTTGCTTAGTAGCTCAGCAACTGTTCACATTCTCCACCCTTATTTTTTTAGGTTTTCCATGACTGTGGAATCATCATGAACGTGAGTGGTACCTGTACGGCAGAGATGCCGTATGGATACCAACCCCGCTTTAAAGGGCTTTACATCGCCACTGAGCTCATCATCGCCGTGCTGGCCATCATTGGCAACTTCCTGGTTTGCCTGGCTGTCACCCGCAACAAGAAACTTCGCACTGTCACCAACTACTTCCTGGTGAGGAAACCTGTTTCTGGAACATAGGACTCTTATCACAATCTACTAATACATTGTTTGGGAAATCTACAAGCGGATATCTAAAGGACCAAAAGTGTGTTTCACTCTGTATGCGTGTGTGTGAAGGTGTCATTGGCAGTGGCGGACATCCTGGTGGGATTGGTGGCCATTCCCTGTGCAGTGCTGACAGACCTGGGTCAACCTCGCCATAACCTGCCCCTCTGCCTGGTGATGCTCAGCATGCTGATAGTGCTCACACAGGTAGGAGCATTTATCTGGTGACTGATTGCAGGGGGATTTCTGCAGGGCAAAAGCACCGCCTGTACATAATCTGTGTTACTTGGACCAAGAATCCCTGCAGAGATTCAAATTCTATAGAGTTCCTTATGAAGTTTAGGGACTGTAAAATGATTAGGGTAGGGACGAGGGCTGAAACTTGTTTCACAAAAAGCAAGAGGTTCTTCAGCGTTATCAAGATATATGACCCACTGCACACCATATCCTCTAATAACTATAAATAATACAACTGTATTGAATTTGTTCCAACATTAATAACTAAAAGTGTATAAAGAATTGAAGAATATAAGATGGTGTAACAAACTGTAAAATTTTTATGGTCCAATAATTATCATGTAGGCATCAAATTGCACATTAGAAGCAGAATTAGGAAGGTATGTTTTTGACATAACTGTTTGATTATTATTAAAAATGGTCCTTTCTCTTCCAGAGCTCCATCCTGAGTATGTTAGCAGTAGCAGCGGAGCGTTACATGGCCATCCTCCTGCCCTTCCAGTACCAGCGTGTCATGAGTCCCGGGAACGCCCGGCTGGCCCTGCTGCTCACCTGGGGCCTGGCAGCCATCTCCGGCTCTGTGCCCCTCATGGACCCGCAAAAACTACCAGCAGACTCTGAGTAAGAGGATGAGGGAAGGTGGATGGATGAATGGACGGGTGAGGAATAGAGTGACTGAGTAAATGAGAAAGTGAATGGTAACAAGACTGCAGGAAAATGCAGTGAAATGAAAAATGGGTAAATGAAAGAATGAACAAATGAATGAAGGGACGCTATAATGAATGAATGCATATATACTGTATATAACATATGAAATAAATGCCCCCCTGTCATTCCAGCTACTGTATCTTCACCTGTGTGGTGGACATGGCCTACATGGTCTACTTCAACTTCTTCTGCTCCTTCCTGATGCCGCTGGTGGCCATGTTCATCATCTACGGCCACATCTTCCTCACCGTCCGCCACCAAATCAGACGCATCGCTGTGGCCAGGGGAACCACAGAGGACATGACAACTGTTGGTAGTGGGAGCACTGGGACAGAGGACACTGGGAGTTCAGCTGCTGGGGCGACCACGGGAGTTGGAGCAGACATGAGGACAGCAGAGGGAACCGGGCATTTGAAAAAATGTAAGATTGAAGTGAGGGCTGTGGAAGAGCCTGGCATTGGGTCTCTTATTGAAACTGAGACTACCACTGTCTTTATGAAGCCAGGGCTCAGGATCGCCTCAGCTGGATCTACCAGCTCCAGCAGTGGCCCTGCTGACCCTCGTCCAGGAGAGTCCACCAGGGCCAAATCCAACATACGCACCTGTCAGGAGCTGCGTAAGGCCACCTCCCTCTTCCTGGTCCTGTTTCTCTTCATGGTGTGCTGGATGCCCATCCACCTCATTAACTGCATCCTGCTGCTCTGCCCACAGTGTGAGGTGCCCATGTCAATCACACTAGCAGCCATTTTGCTTTCCCACGCCAACTCGGCCCTCAACCCGATCCTGTACGCGTACAGAATGAGGTCATTCCGACACACTCTGGTAGGAATGTGGAGAGGAATGTGGAGCGTTAGGGCAAAATGTCAGTAGAGCAGCACTGGAGGTGACGAGAGCAAACCGTCGCTGCTCAGGGTCAGGGAAATGGTCAAAACTTTAAAAATTGGGACTTACAAGCGTTTATTAAAGAATGTAACTTTGATCAAAATGTGGTTCTTCAGTGCTGACCCAAAATGTCCTCCCTCAAGCACTGAATCAGCCAATAGCAAGCCTCCAAAGTGCCTGATAACAAGCCACTGAACAGCCACTGAACACTACCTGCTCAGCACCAAACAGCAGACAGACACATTAGCAGCTAGATGGTGAACATAGTGGAGCATTCAGTGGCTAATAAGATTTTTCTCTCAGGATAAAAGAGACTTAGTTTCATCAGGTGGACACAAACACAACTGTAAATGAATGCCAATGTTTCTCTGCGACTGCTGGATGTGAAAATAAGGAACTGTTTGCGAACTCGTTTACCATGTCATTTTTAAAAGGTTGCACTGCCCCCAGGTGGCGAAAAATAAATCAATTAATGCAGCTTTAAAGGATGAAAGGGCTCTAACAGATGTACATTAACTTTAGTCTTTGAATAGAGCTCAGTGTTTATATTTCACTGGATTGAAGACCAAGTCTTAAAGGGAGAATTTACACTTGAAAAAATATTGTATATAAAGTTATATAAAGTCATAGTTTATACTCAAAAGCAGATCAAGACTTTAATAACTGAGGACATTTATTTTCAATTCATTTGACATGTGACTTAAATGGATTTTAGGCTTTTTGGTTTCTTTGCAAATATTTTCTCAACAAAAATTCACTGTTGCTTCTTATTTTAGAGTTTTATTTATTGCATATGGTCATATTGTTGTTTACATTGTACACTGAGAACATGGCTGTTGTAAAAGTTGAATGAGCCGTTCTGTATGTGTGTATAGTAACAGTTTATACGCACTCGAGTTGCACTTTGCCCCTGATTTGAGCTCGCCTGAAGGCATTTACTGTTAAACTGCAGGAAACCATATTTTCGTGTGGCCCAGCTTTTCAAAATAAATGTTTTTGTGCATTCATTGTACCCTGCACTTGTTCTAATCCTGGTTAACAAATAAAGACAACAAACAGCAAAGAGGCAAATCAACATAACTGCGTGCTTTATTGATATACAGTAAAGCATTTTATAATACAGTAGTAAGGCATATATTTGGTGGAATCTGATATGTTGTGAAGTATTGACGCGTTATTTGAAAAATGATGTGAGAATGAAACACAAACGTTAGAAATGAAAAAACAAACAAACAAGGAAATAAACCAAATTCAGTGTCTGGATCAAAACAAAACCCTTTTGGATCATGCTGTCAAGAATATGATGCCGAAAACACACGAGTGTATAACGCCGCGATGCTCGCCACGGGCTTCTCTGAGTGGTTACACATTAAATAAGGATGGAGTTTATTTAATCACACATGCTAATATCGTAACACCTCACACAACACAAAAACAAAATAGCTTTTTAACCAAAGACAAAATGGAACACTCTGCAAGAATAAACGCATCCTCCACACAGAAAACAAATATCTAGTATGTCCCAGGTATGACAGTAGTGCACACGGATTCGTTTGATTTGCGTGAAAAGCTAGTTTTTATACTTGAGTCATATAAATCTCTGATAGAGAGATGAGAAATGCAGTGAGTGCATCCGAACATTCAGATCGGAGGCTCCAACAGTGCAGTAGAACATGTTCGGAGCCATATATAGGACATCTGACGTGATTTAATCAGCCAGCAATAATCAATTAATAATCAACAATCTGAGAGGAGTGTGGGATCGAGTACAGTAGAGAAATTGCCTCCGGACCGGACTTTGACAATTCACACGAGGTAGAGCTTACTGGGCTTCCTAAAACTCAAATATTTCTCTGTTCAAGTCGTTCAAACTGAAGAATTCCTCAAAAATAATCTCAACTAGCAGCCTTGTAACACTGTAGTGCTCGGATTCAATTAAAATCACATTCTTCTCAGTTCCTCTTACAGCACAGAAACTGTCAACTTATAGACCGATACACAGTGTACTGTGTGCACACAACAGGCCCTAAAGAGACACCTAGAAACCATCTTAGTGATAAAAATGTAAATAAAACCCTCACTGAAGATGTGCCAGTAAATATTAGATAGCTGTGATAAAACAAATATTCAACTTGGAAACTTTCATGACAACCTTTACAACTGATGACCAGTTAGGATATAAGAGCTGCAGTCGGTAAAGACAGAAAGACAGCTGACTGTTTCATTCCCAAAGCGCGGTTATTTGACAACCTGGGACGGAACAATCAACCGTCTTTCTCGGCTCTGATTGATTGCTTTCATTCAGCTGCGGTGGATTCTTGCAAATGCCTTTAGGAGCACAAGGAGGAACCGGAGGAACCTGCCTCATACTGTCAGGATAAAGTAAAAAGCTTCAGCAAATATGACAGAAAGTTCTTTTAATAAAAGTTCTCCTCCTGCAGCTTTGAAGAGTCACCAAACACCTCCACATCATCTTGTTTTTGCTGACCTCCAGTGGTTTAACTTCCCACTCTGCTGCAGCGATGTACAGGTGCACTCCAGGACACTGTGACATCACCGCCGGGTGCAAAACATACTCTAAACACCGCTTTTCATACGGCAGTGAAGAAACTCTTTAAAAAGGTGCCGACAACAAAGATCCTGTTTACATTCAATGTTGCTCACCAAAGCACATTGTGTGTATCCTTGAGGCCTCATAAATGTGTCCAAAGCTTCCTCGTAAAACATTTGCAGAGCCAATTATTGGAAGAACCCACTCTTACAACATAACTAATGGTCAGAAACTCCACAGGGTATCAGTAGAATTAAAGGAGCACTCCTCACAATTACACATACGACGACCGGTTTACTCAGAACTACTCAGCCTGTGAAAACAATTAACAGTATATTATCTGTGACTCTGAAGGGAGCTTTCCAAATGCTGAGAAAAACAACCCTGACGATGTCATAGTGATGTCATCAGGGTTATCTCTGCTTGAGCTACGAGAATTCAATGTATGTATGTATGTATATATATATATATATATATACACACACATACATACATACATACATATACACACACACACACACACACACAATACTAAATAAATTAATATTTTAGTTCATAGGGATGACAAATACCATGGAGACAAGATTTGTTTTTTTTATTTACTTGAGCCTGTTGTTTTTCAGTTTAACTAATTATTAAGATTGATTACTGTAAAATGGAATCCACATGATGTCCAATTATTTCCCATCATGTGCCTTAAGTTTTGGAGTGATTTTGCTGACTCGTCTCAGTTCTGGATCGGGCCCATCACAGCACACAGTACACCGTGTTGACAACAAATGCGGGGATAAAAAAAAAACGGTTGCCGTAGAGATGTCAATAACGGGGAAGATGAACAAACTGATGGATGGATAGATGGACGGATGAGTGGATGAATGAAGAATTAAACTGTAACGTTAGGGTTTGTCAGCCAAAGGCCCCCCAAAAAATAAAAATAAAAAGCTGTAATGTAATGTGTAAATTAGGCACCACCACACACACACACACACACACACACACACACACACACACACACACACACACACACACACACACACACACAGTCTCACAGACAACGTACTGTAAAGATCCAGGATGCCTGCATTACCTTGACAGTAGTGTACGCTGTTATAGAAAGACATTTTCCTCTTAGAAAGCACCCTTATGATTACAATCATTCTTTTTTTTTTGATACAAATGTCTGAAATGCTTTTGCTGTTTCCCCAATTACAAAGAGATGGCAAATATTCGACCACACTGAACACACTTATTTGTATCTCATCTCTCTTTGCCCCCCCCCTTACCCCACTCTTGTTTTATACAATTGCATAGAAGTTTAAAAACCAGCCTCTGTTAATAATAAAACAACTTCAGGACGTTTTAAGAAACTACTGAAATCTACAAGTTATAATGTTTTTCTTTTGTTTTGTTTTTTTAACGCGTCGTTGCTGGAACCGCAATCCTTCACAAAAATAGACGTTATATATTCTCTTTGTAAACTGTGTTTCCAATCCAGTTGTTTTGACTAGAAAAGCATGCGACAGGTAGGGAGGGAGGAAGGGAGGGAGTAGGACACAGGGCTGAAGGTTTTGAGGCGGGGGTTGGGGGGGTGGGGGGGGGGGGGGATCAGAAGGGCAGGCCCTCGTGCTGTTCGGCGCTCTGCTCGTCTGTCATCACGTTGACCAGTGACTCCATGGCGCGACCCAGATCATCAGCCATGTGGAACAAACTGCCAATACTGGGACCTAGAGAGAGAGAGAGAGAGAGGAAATGCTTAGACCATACACACTCAGTGACAGAGTGAAGGTTCACACAGGCATACAGACATGACCGTAGAAATGGGAGACTACAGCTCTACCACTATCTCTGCCGTGCTGTACTTGCATATGCACAGTGTTGCTTTGAGCTAAATGCTAAAGCAACATGGCAACATTCTCACAGTGACAGTGCTAACATTTGCTAATTTCGTCATTAAAAACTGTGCCGATGAATGTTTGTTGATGATGAGAACGAGACTTAAGGCCTTTACACGTCGTTAATTTGCATGTCAGTCTATTTTTCTGTTGTTTTTTTGTTATGAGTGCTTTCACACACACACAATGCAAATATTACGCAGTGAAAAGCAGATGGAGGTTGATTTTGCTGTATTACTCAACAGGAAAATATAAAGACTGTGAAAAAAGTGACTTGGTGCTGTGTGGGATTTACTGAATAAGAACTGAAGCTGTTATTATCCATCTTTTCTCTCTTCTCACAAAAACAGTAAGTAAGTAACCCAGAAGCTCTGAAAAGCTGCAGCCATTTTTCCGCCAGTCCCTATTCTGTTTGATTAAGTGCGTGTGGATTTAATCTTTTATTGTAATGTGTCGCATATTTACATCCCTGCTGATATACAATGATAATAGTTTTGATGCGACATATTCGCGTGATATTATTTTGCATTTTCATGTTTCTTATTTGTCACATCCCCGGTGCGTAAAGGCCTTAACGTTTAATAAAAAGTAACCACTGAAAATGAGAACTACGGCAAAATGTATTACATATTAATAGTCTGTTCCTCAGAAGCCGAGTAAAGTCTCAGAAACGATGTTGAACCTTGTTGATGACTTGAATCACATTAAATTGTGGTTGAATCTTGCTGTGAACCCCACATTGTGAACATTATTAACACATCATCTCATCCCTAATCTACATGCATACAGAGATGCACAACGTACACACACACACACACATATACATATACATACACACACTACTCCCTACTGTGACGAACAGAGCAGCAGTGTGACAGAGGACAGGAAAGGGAAAGGAAATTAAAGAAAGGGAAAGGGAGGGAGGGACAGATATGTGTTGCTTTTGTCCCACTGCACCACTGTACCGTGACGTTCCCACTCGGCCATTATGTCTCTGCCACACGTTCTACATACTACTAGAGACTCATTATTAGGCCAATTGTTAGACTGTTCTGGTAGCGGACAAACACGGTACTGGCATGCAGTGGAAATACTCCGTAGAGGTGATGGGGGGGGTGAGAAGGTGAGGGGAGAGAAAGTTGAGCCACTAACCTCTCATGGGTGTCCCCTTCTCCCTCCTGGCTCATGGAGAAAAAGAGGAAAGGAAGAAAAGAAAAGAAGAAAGGAAAAAAAAATCAGCTTTGTGTTGGTAATGAAGAGAAAGCAAGACCTGAAAACTGTTCTTTGCTCCCACAATCAGATATAGATAAAAATCCATTGTTTGTTATTTATCTATTTTATCCTATTATTATTATTACTATAACTTTGCTCCATTTTTACATCATTTCTTTTTTCACTTTACACTGACTTTGGATTAAATGAGGTTGCTGATGGAGGACGAATATAAAAAGTTCTTAAGGGATATTATATTGTAGCATCCTGAAGTAGGAATGTAGAGAATCTTCCCAGCAGGCAGCGGGGCAACAGTAATTCCCATAACTCTCATTTTAAGTGTTTCTGCATTGTTATTGATACTGTTGTGTTCAACCTTGTTTCCAGTTTCCACAACAAAAGCTGTCCAAAAAGTCTTTATGAAGAGTAAATGCAGTTTAGTTTTGTCCTGTTTTGGTCCCTTAAGTCATTTTTCAAGACAAAAAATCTCCTTCCAGCTTTTTAAATTCTTCTTTTTTTCATCTTTACTTTACTGTAGATCGAAGATCTTTGGC